GAGTCTCCGTAAAGGAATAAAGTTCATGCCGTAGATGCTCTGTCAAATTTCCAACAATTCTTTCGAGAAGGAACTCAAGATCCAAAAATTGAGATTCAACCAAAGGTTAATGGAATCATGGGCTCTTGGCATCTCAGCCACGATTCCGCTCTCTTCTCCTCTTCACCCGCAAAGGTTAGTCAACCATGTTGTCATCTCATATGAATTCTGGTTTATCATCATGGACTCAAGGCTCAAGCTGTTTGCTTTTTCTGTGTTTGGTGGTTTTATGCGTGGCAAAGGTAATAGTTTTGCTGGAGTATTCTTGACGATTTAATTGCAAAAGTCAATGTGTTAAGTAATATTTTTGTTGCAGGACATATGAAGTGCTGAATTCATTATGATAATCAATTTGAATATTTATATGAATGGACATAAAGTCCTTTCGGGGGTTATGTTGTTTTTTTAGTTTTTTTGGGTGCATCTCTTCCTTGAGGTACTTTGTTTCTTCCAACGTGAGCTTCCTTGATGTAATATTTTTTTTAGCACAACCTATTTGTGCACATTGTGATGCAGAGGTAGTTTCAACGAAGACATGTTTACTTTTAACAAAATGTTAGTATCTCGTGCATTTCTAAGTTATTTTGATATGGGAACTTGTCTTATTTGAAGCAAACAAGCAAAAACTTATCTTATTTTTTACAACACAATTTCTCTGGAACATGTTTTAACTATGGTATCTTGTTTTGCATTTGCAGATTGCTTACTCTTTAATCATGGAGCAAGAAGTGCAAATTGAGGTCGTGATGAATAGCTACTTGTAGGCTCTCCTTTTTGTTTGATTTTGAAAAATCACATATAGTTGTTGACGTTGGTGATTGCAGTTTATGTCATTAGTGTTAGCTGAAATCATTTGCAATTACATAGGTATTTCTTTGATGGTCTTTTTTTTTCTTTTTTGTATTGAGATTTGTATATTGTACTTTGACATTCCAGATTGGTTGTATTGAAGATTACATTGGATTACTATTTCAATGAATTGTATTGGATTCTCAATTCTAATCTTTTGTGCAATTGTGATCTTTTTTATTTCACATTTTAACAAATATTCCAAAAAAAAATAATGAAAGTAAAAATGATCGAGCCTATTTAACCACGAATATAGCTAGGGAGTGACCGCAAAATAGTTTGTGGGTAAGTTCATAATTATCCACAAATGAACCACGGGTTATTCCGTGGAAAATTTTATCCAGCGATTTCTATGGACTGTTTGTGGAAAATTAGTTACGGTTTATCCACGATAAGTTTGTGGCAAAAGTTAACTATAGTTACTTTATGGTTACCTTTAACTACGAACCACCCGCAGAACATCCGTGGTTAAGTTGTGGTGTTTTTATGAAATCCCACAAAAATTTATCTACGGAAGTCTCAACTTTTAACCACGAATAATATCGTGGTTATATTACACACGAAGCTGTAGTTCGTGGGAATATAATTAGCAACGGAGCATTTTACCACGTTCACGTTGTTGTGGATAAATCCGTGAGAAATTTAATTACCTACGGACTGCAAGGCAAAATTAACTACGAATGAGTCTGTGGGTATTGAGTAATTTTCTTGTAGTGGCAGCGTTTGTGGGATTTGTTTGTAATAAAGACGGGGAAGACGATGACACTTGGCACAGAGTGTCCAACACCATCGACAAGGAGGGGATTCCGCCGGACCCTTCGCGGTTGATCTTTGCCAGGAAACAGCTTGAGGATGGCAGTACCTTGCGAATTACAACAAAACGTTAACTGGCCAGACGATTATTTGGAGGTTGAGAGCACCAACATAATTGACAGCATGAAGTTGATTGGAATATTTGATAAACTCTATCCGACATTCCCCCGAGCCTGAGATTATGTGTAAATTCATGAGCTATGGATGAAGTCTTTAAGCCAGTGGAAGAAGAAGGTGTTAGGGGTGTCTATAAAAGGGAAAGAGGAGCTGTGAACGTCAAGAAAAAGGAGCTGGAACACAAAAGTATACTGATGCAGATTATAACCTTATCTGCCAACTATTGGGACTGCCTCTGGTGTTCATGCGTATCTTTGACAAAGCTTACCGGACTGCCTCTAAATTGTTTTGTGGCCTTGGATTAACTGAAGACTTAAGGAGCTCATCTATGAATAAGATGCATCAGATTTTTTGCAAATTATACAGAAGCGGAATGAGCATTCAACAGAACAAGGCGATGAAATTGTGCTAGAGATTGAAGCAGCTTGATCGGTTTGTGACAAACTGGAAGAAGATAGTTACCAACACTAAGGAACAGAAGTAGAAGAAGATAATAGACGTGGTAAAGGAGCATATACAACCTTTTTGCAGACAATGTTAGCAAATTAACCACCAAACCCTTGACCGAAGTCAAGGCAAACATTACCTTCTGTTTGCCTTGACTACGTAAATTTGCTGAAAGTCTTCGTTCGCCACCAGAGCCATATTGAGAAACCTAGCTATGTGACTTTTGGGATGAAAATTACCCCATTGATGGCAAGATATTGTTTTGTAAGGAAGCAGAACCTTCAGTAGGCTGCAATTTACAATGTTTTGATGCTAAGGAATTCGAAAAAGAGAGGAAAGAAATCATAAATAATAATTTGAGCTTTCAGAAGCATTTTCGCATTTTGTTCTTCATAGTTATCAATAAGTGGTGGTGTAGTAGGTGACTCTGAAACAAGAAAAAACCTAAAGCAAAGGCGAGATGGGCCCTATTTCCCAATGTTCTTGTCAGGAAACAAAAAGTATCTACAGATTCTCCAGGTCAAGAGGAGATCTGTGATGCATTGAATATTGGAGTTACCAAGCCAGAAATCCTTAGCCGTTGTTAGTCTTGTTTACAAACAGTACGATTTGAAGTGAGTTTCTTTATTTCATGTCAGAAAATATGACATGAAAATGTAGTAGTAGTCAGATTTACAAAGGTCTTTTCCAGATGGTATGGAACTCTTTCAAAATCATCAAGCCATCAGAAGATGTTTTTCAGCAATTTGTTTGTGGGAGAGAGATTATCTAAGTGTCAAAGTAATATGAATGATTTCTAATTTTACTAACGAGTACAACAATGTATGTCGGAGATAGAGATTATAACAATTTAGTTAGCTTTTATAGTGTTTTTACTAATGAGTACAAACTTATCAAGATCGTTTATTAACCAAGGATTAAAAAAAAAAGAATAAGAAATAAAGTTGTATTAACAAACAAACTTTTTTCAATATCATAGAATCTTCATTTCAATACAACTTCTACAATCAAGTACAAAAAATCACATCCAGTTAAGTATGTCATTTCTAACATCTCAAATGTATTTATATACGTTATAAAAATTTATAATGTCAAAAACCTATACTAATTGATAAAGCAACGACACTTTTTGTCCTTCCTTGATCTACTGTCCTTGAAATATATCAAACTCAAACACTTGAAAGATCACAAATGAACAAGAAAAGCATTTAAATGGGTGCGTTTAGGAGCTCAAGTCGTCAATACAACCATAACATAAATAGACAAGGATCAAGGTTACTTAACCACAGAGAGGCTATTAAACTACCGTCAATACGAACCAAAACTTTTGCAATTTGTTCATATTGTATTTGCTTCATTTCAAACTTTTGCAATTTGTTCATATTGGAAAAGAAGAAGAAGTCCACGATTTGCATCTTTGGTCCCTCAAGTTTGTAGTTTTTTCATTTTTGTCACAAAACTTCTTCAATTATGCATTTTGTCCCTGATCGTGCAAAATCATCCAAAACAGCTCCAATATCTCATTTTCAGCTCCTAACACGAAATAATAACAAAACCAATGAATTGAATCTATCTGAGTTCGTAAACTAATAAAATATTAACAATTAAAATACAATTTTTGGACTCTATTAAAGAAGATGGCTTTGAGTTGCACATAGTGATGGGAGGCTAGTAAATTGTAAACTATAAAAAGAACAAACTTGAGTAATTATTCTATAAGGCATGTGTATGTGAACCCATGAAATACCAAATATAACACGTAGACCCTTTTCATTTTCTTGATTGAAAAAGAGAATAAAAATCTCATATTTAATACTTAAAAAGGACTACAAAACTCAAGTTTACATTCTGCAATTATAATATATGTTGAAGAATGGTATATAACTTTTTAAAGGAGTAAAATTTGGTCGCATGTGAAGTCAGTGAGTGTTTAACTTTGTCTCCATATAATTTAATTTGTTATTATTATGATTAACTTTACTTATTATTTTTTCTCGTCATTATTATTTTTGGTTTTATATAATCATTATATTTGTTAAATGAACCAAATACTAAGAGTGGCAAAAAATCAAACAAAAAGGTCAGAAGTATCATCATCAGTTTCATAAACGTGCTTGGGATTCGACTTCGATTTATATAATAATTTCTTCTCCAATCTCGATACTTGTTTTTGAGCATTTTCAAAAGGATGACATGATAGTTGACTAATCAAAATTGGGAAAAAACCAAAATCCCCAAAAGACAAAACATGGAGGGCAAAATCAGCGAAAGTAAATTGGGGGAAAAAACCCCACCGACCTTTAGTTTTTCCCTTACATGGCAGCCCAATGGTAGCTCCACCTGTTTCTTCGTTGTATATAAATATAATTAACCGAATCAGTAATCCACTCCAGGAGCACGTAACTTGGGCGTGTTCAAATTTTAGCCCCACCAAAAAACTGCCAGCATCTTCTTCCAGTCTCTGGTACTTATAGAATTTAATAATATACTGATCAGAGAGAAAAGGGTCTGGGTCACTTTTTTTCAATTTTTACACGGAAGAATCGCTCTCGGAAACTTGAGGAACACTTCGTCTTGTTGTCAATGTAAATGGGTTTTTGTCTTTTGGTTCTGGGGTTTTTGGGTTTTGTTGAATTCGGAGTTGTGATTACTGAAGAGGGTTTTTTATTGAGGGAGGAGGAGTAAGAATTTTTTTTTTTTTTTTTTTTTTTTTTGAGTTTTGGAAACGGAACAAGATGTTGGAAGATCAAGTAGCGTATTTGTTGCAGAGGTACTTGGGGAACTATGTTAGAGGGCTCAATAAAGAAGCTCTCAAGATCAGTGTGTGGCAAGGTTAGTAGTCTTCTTCTTTTGTGCGTTATGAGAATGATGAATTCTTGGAAAAATTAGGCGGAGCAAGTTGGCTGGGTGCTGAAATGGTCCCGAAATTTGATTATACAATTCCATAAACTTGTATCCTGCTGGTAAAAATTGGTAGCTGAACTTTAAAATAGTACATTTCTATCTGTCCCGATATTATAATCATCCCATGGAACGTTGTTGGGCAAATAATATTGGATGCCTCGAGTGAGTGATGATTATAGTTCGAACATGGAATGTAGTTTTGATGATATCACTTCTAGCACTACCCTCAAGAGAGGATATCATTTCTTGCTGCAAAGAGAAGAAAAGAAGTTCATGTAGGGGTTGAGGGTGAATTAATATATGGGAGCTGGCAAAATGGGATAATCATAGGCAATGAAACATGATGAAGTGGCTTATAGTTTGTGCATTGAAGTGTAAGACCTTTTAGAGAACCATGGCTTATAGTTTGTGCATTGAAGTGTAAGACCTTTTAGGGAACCAATTGTAAGATCCCTGCGTTTATGCTCCACTGTGTAAGTAATATGATAGAGATTCTGGAGACACGGGGTACTGCAATGGGCTACAGATACACAGCCTTTCAGGAATCAGGCATATACGTTTTTAAAATCATGTTTAACATTGTAGGAAAGCCATTGCAGATGCATCCAATTTTATAGTCTCAGGCTATTGGGTGCAACTTTTTATGTAATGGAACTTGTATTCAAGAACAAGTTTGCTGTGCTAACTTCTCTATCTGGAACTTGTTGTCATGGATATTTAGTTGCAGTGCTTCTGGTTACTATGAGGCTGTGTATTGTATAGTTATATTTATGTATATTGTCAAGTTCCAAGCGGATGCTTGGCATGCTAACAGGTTGATCATGGTCACTGTTTCGAGGTTAATGCTGAAATTGTGTTGTTATGGTGTTATCAAATATTTGATGTACGAACTGGAGTTGCTTTACTGAACTTTTGACTTTTCTTGTGGAGATATGCCAAAATTTATCCAGTTGCCATTATCTTAAGGTTGAACATATATGCACTTGATTCATATCAAAAGTTTTTCGGCAACATAGTATAGAAGGGGCATTATGGGTGACATTTAAAATTGGGGAACATACTGTTTTGGGTACTGGCTTTTCTGAATCCATTTGTCTTATTGTAGAAGCTTCTGGATATGGCCTAATGTTCGGATTATTGCCGAGTTGTTGGTTGATACCCAATTTAGATACCACTGGAAATTATGGAGGTCACTTTACATTCACCAAGTCTAGATCTCCATTTTGTAGTATTTTTTATAAAAATCGAAAAAATGGCTTTGGATTTTCTAGTTGAAGTGTCATATGATAATGATACTTTTGTGCTGTGATTATGGCTAGACAAATAGAGCCCAACATGTGATATTCTTTTCTCTACAATTTATGTTTCTCAACTGCAGTTCATTTTCCTTTAATTACTTCGCCGGCAAATTTTTCAATTTTAATGCATCTCCTTGTTACGTAGATCAATTTCCAAGCAGATACTTCTTCAGTCGTTATTATGATTACTTACTTTGCATCTTTTACTGATTCGTTTGGTGATACTGAATTGTGCCACAGGTAATGTGGAGCTAACAAATATGCAGCTGAAGCCAGAGGCACTCAATGCATTGAAGTTGCCTATAAAGGTCAAGGCGGGGTTTCTTGGATCAGTAAAGCTTCAGGTTTGCTGGAATAACTTGCACATTTCAATATTTGTTGTACTTCAATTTGTGCTGTCACACATAATGAAAAATTATCCCTCTTACATTGTGTATACTTCATTGCTTGTAATTTGTGGGGGAACCTTGGCTCCATGTAGCCAATTGACCTAGGGTCCTGGGTTTTTGGGGGCGAGTCACAAAACTGGCAAGTTATAAAAAAATAGGTAATATTGTGCACTGCTTTAATGGGATGGCCCTTCTGTAGAGTTTGGACATGCATGAGCTTCTATACACTGCTCCTATTACCAGCATAGACAACTGAAATATAGATCGAATGTTTCATAGGCATTGGCGCATTGTTAGTTGTAGAATATAAAAATATACTGATGTTGCCTGTATTCTTATGGATGGTACTTACTACTTATTGGACTTGCGATGAAGCATCAGCTAGATATAGTCATAATTTTGTCCTATCATCACCTCATTATCAGTTGAATTTAGGGGTGCCCATCATTCATGTTCCTCATAACAACACACTTAGGTCTAGCAATGTCATCTCAGCAGGAGTTAATGTGTAGATGATAGTTGATTCTTGGTGGGTTTTAGACATTATTTGTCTGCATACCGTTTTCTGGATCTACACCGCTGCAAAGGTTAAGAATTAACTTAGTACTGTGCCTTTTATTGAGTCTATATAATTTCCACTAAAGATCATGTATTGGACGAATGAGCTGCTGAAGCGAAACTACAAGCTGCCAGTGAGTCATTTCCACATTTAAAATGTTCTATTCTATGTGTGTATGGTCTCTGGAGGGAACAAAAAGAGGGTTTTATTTAGTCTGTGTTGCTTTTAATCTATGTAAAATATGGAGATAAGGTAATCATGTTATGGTAAAATGATGCTAACTTTAGGTGCAAATCCTCTATGCTCGTGTTTTTCTGGGCTTCTAGTTGGTCTGAATGGGAGATTTCGATGTCAACTCCCATGTCTAGCAAATATGGGATTGGATACTTACTATTCTATAGTTTGTGTTCTGAAGACCTTAGCAGAATACTTCCAACTTCCTAATTGAAGCGTTTTTTGGGATTAAATGTGCTGAACATGTTGTCGAATGAAGGTTCCCTGGAGTAGGCTGGGACAAGATCCTGTTTTGGTTCACCTGGATCGTATATTTTTGCTAGCTGAGCCTTCAACTCAGGTGGAAGGCTCCAGTGAGGATGCGGTCCAAGAAGTCAAGCGAAGTCGGATACGGGTGAGATATTGTATTCTTACTTCAGTTTGGTTCGTATTCTTGGTTGACATGAAATCATTGGTTCTCTCGCCTGGAGCAGGAAATGGAAAGGAAGTTATTGGAGAGAAGACAAATATTGGAGAATGAGATGGTATGTTTTTTTAAGTGCTCTTTGCGTTGTCTTAATAGAAAATTTCTCATGTATTTCACTTTCTTAAATGTCAACTAGCAATATTCAGTGGCCGTGATCTTTTGGTTCTGATAAGCTTTGGGAATATGTCTCTACTCATTTATACAATGATCTCAGTATGATTGATTGACTGGATGTCTGACATGTATACATAACCAAATTTGGTGGGATGAAGTGCATGCCCACGAGAACTGTCGGTGAGCTTTAACTCAACAAAGTGATCTTCTACATAATCAGATGCTGGCATCCACGTTAGATAAAGTAATAGACTCCAGGCACACATCTAAAAAAAAATGTAAAGGCATTTTACTTTGTCGCGAAACCAAAAATATGGAGTTGTTAAAGGCACAAGGTCATGCTCACACATGTAAATTTCGTGGCACTGTTTAAAAGCTTATTTCAGGAAACACTTGTAGATTGAATAATGCAAACTTCAAACTTTATAACAAACTATAATGTAGATAAGAAGGACCCAGCTGGCGAAAATACAACTTTGACGGACCTTTCTTAATTTCAACTTTTAATGGACAGGGAATTAGGTGTAGAAATGCATGTAACATGAGAATTCTTCATCAATTTGTCCCAGTAGCCATGTTTAAGTTGGTTGCGTTTACGCATGTCTTCAGGTCACTGATTTTGTTATAAGAGCTTTGTTTTATTCTTAGTGCCCCTTGTTATTAAATCTTGGAAATGGTCGAATGCTTGTTATTACTGCATTTAAACGGGAGTAGGAACCGAATGCATGAGTGCCCAGATAGGTGTAAATTTTTTTCCTCTACCTTTAAGTTAAGATTTTTCTCCAAACGTTCTTTACATAGCTGAGTTTTTTGTATTACTTCTTGTTTTCTTTTCCTAGTTACACCTGACCTTTTTTATTGTTTTTCTTTGCAGAACAAGTCTTGGTTAGGTTCTTTGATCAACACTGTAATTGGGAATCTGAAACTTTCAATTTCAAATATTCACATCAGATATGAGGATATTGAGAGGTGGGCGCACTTTATCTTTTCTTTTCTTTCCAGTATATATAAACTTGTTTTCCTTGTAAAAACCTAACAATGTATTTTTGCAGCAATTTTGGCCATCCTTTTGCTTCTGGTGTGACATTAGACAAGCTATTGGCTGTGACAGTTGATGATAGCGGGCAGGAGATTTTTGCAACCGGGGGTGCACTGGAGCGTATTCAGAAGGTTCTGGTCATTTGAATTATGTATTAAGCAAATAGTTGAAGAGCATTTAATGTTATTGCATTTTTCTTTCATGTCCCAGTAGACAAACTTTGCTTCTCTAATCATCTATTGGTATTTGCTGCTCTTTTCCTTTTGTTTAAGTTATCATGTTTCTTGCATTCTGAGCTTAATGGTTACATAAAATTCAGTGCTAAATTATTTCACCTGTCGTACTCCTTTGTTTTGCTTTAATTTACTTTTTTGTTGGTTGTCTTTTAGTCTGTAGAACTTGAGAGGCTGGCAGTTTATCTGGATTCTGATATAAGTCCTTGGCACATAGATAAATCATGGGAGGATTTAACACCGCGGGAATGGGAGCAGGTGTGTTTTGTCATACTTGTGAATGTTTTTTTTTCCTATGCTCTTGAATTGGGTGTAACTATGTTTCATGAGATTCAGATTTTCAAGTTTGGGACGAGGAATGGAAAGCCTGCAACTATTCTCGATGAGGAACACACTTATGTTTTGCAGCCAGTTACTGGAAATGCAAAATATTCAAAGCAGCATCTCAATATGACTGTTAATACTGGTCAGCCGCTTCAAAAAGCAGTGGTGAATCTAGAAGACGTCACACTCAGTTTGTCCAAGGTGGGTTGTCTGATTCCTTTTGTAATTTATTTAACATGCTCTGGCCCTTCATTTTTGTGCATTTAAGTTTTTGACCTTTTTGTATTTGTCAGAGTGGTTACAGGGATCTGCTGAAGTTGGCTGACAATTTTTCTGCCTTCAATCAACGTTTGAAGTATGCACATTATCGGCCACGCGTTGCAGTAAAATCTGATCCAAGGTCTTGGTGGAAATATGCCTACAGAGCCATCTCTGATCAGTTGAAGAAGGCAAGGTGAGATTGCTTCTCATGTTTACTCTTCATTCTTTCTTTATGATGAAATGTAGGTATATTGTGGTGATTGTATGTGGTCGTTATGATTACGTTTGTTGTAGTTCATGAAAGGTAAGATTGTATTTCATTAAGGGTAAGATTTTAGATATTGCTTGTGCTTCGGCGTAGCCGTCAGATGCATTTCATCTTATTGCATGACAACAGTTTTCCATGCCTCTATAAGCCATGTAGGACTGTAGTTTTGGATGTCATGTTGTTGATGATGATGTCACTAGCTAAACAATAATACTATGCAAGCAATGATAGAGACAGTGACAAATTATAGTGAAATGGAATAGTGACTAACGAAAAGACAAACACACCATCCTCGGTAAATATTTGTATTTATTAATTAAGGGTAAAAATGTAATTTTTAGGGAAAAATAAAATTTTAACGGGAAAGTGGCAAAAAACTAGGGGCCAAGAATGCTCCACACGCTCACCATCCTTTTTCACTATTTTTTTTTTCACTACGCATATCATTTTCCATTATTATGCTATCGTGCTAATTCAAGCAGTACTCACTCTGTTTAGTAGAATAGAGAGATATGAATAATGTACGTGTTGTTTCCTGTTATGTTTGGTTTCTATTTTTTCCGCCGTCCACTCTTTCTTTTCTGTTCAAATTTTTCTTGTTCGGACAGTCTGGGTGGCTGCTAGGTGTTCTCTTTGCATATGACACAAACTCTCATGTACCTCTTTATAAGTTCACGTTTGCTCTTTCCATTTTTTCTTATTGTATTATGTTTCCCTTTCCCGTGGAAATAAAAATAGTTTCGTCATTTCTCCAGCAGTACATGCTTCTCAGTGATTATGTAATCTATTAACTGTTGTCCTTTGCAAATGGTGCTGGAAGAGTCATCATTGACAGTTCTTATAGCTTTTGTGCCAATAATGGCCTAGATCAAAATGGCTTTATCAAATTCTGGTGCTTCATAATTTTAGTGAAGTTGCTGGAGATTAATACATCAAATGCATGCATCTTAGTGAAATCGGGAATGCACTGGATATCTTATTGTGGTTGTATCTACTCTATTAACTAGAACTTAATGGAAGAATCTTGGAAGGCAGTGTCTCAGTTTGCATTTCTTTTACTGTTCACTTTTTTGGTTTATTATTATTAGTGTACCTGTGGCTCTTCCATCTGCTAAAGTAGAATTTGCCTTCTAGCATTTCTAATCAATCTCATGCTTATATCATTTTCCTTTGCTTTCTTTCACGACAATTATTAGCATAGCCAGTTTTGGTTCTCTTATCAAATACAATGTCCTTCAGTGGGAGATTATCATGGGAGCAGGTCTTGCGTTATGCAAGATTGCGTAAAAAGTACATATCGCTATACGCAAAGTTGCTCAGATCTGATGTTGATAGGACCGTGGTTGATGATAATGAAGAGATTAAGGAACTTGACCGGGAGCTTGACATTGAACTAATTCTCCAATGGAGGTAAGCCCCGCAACCCAACCCCCTCTCGCTGTCCTCTCCCGTGGTTGTTGCTCACTTTGTAAGGCTCATTTATGATGATTTCACTTGTTGAGATTGTGGAAGTAAGAACTGGTTTGTGGGGCTTGACACCTATGATTACTTGTTTGGGAGAGATTTGGTGCTATGTGTGTATGATATCCGAATCTCAATAATCGGAAACCATAAGTGTCGTCATACACACTATTCGTTGATGCTCGTGAGCCGATCCTTTAAATGAAGTCATATCCATGCTTTATTGTTGTTTTTTCTTTTAATTTTTTTAGTTGCGGCTGGTTTGATATTTGGAAATACCTTATTTTAATTGTGTCCAGGATGTTGGCTCACAAGTTTGTTTCCCAGACCATGGAGTCAGATGCCTACTTAAAGAATCAGAAGACAAAGAAGTCATGGTGGCCATTTGGAGGGTGATTATTTACTTTGATCCTGCTTCATACTGAAAACTCAGTTGCCTCATTGCATCTATTTACTGTGAAACTTGTTTCCCTGATTATTTTGATTTTAGGTCGAGCAACCCCACAAAAGATGAAAATGAGCCTTGGGTCCTTAGTGACGATGATTGGGAAAGGTTGAACAATATAATTGGGTACAGGGAAGGCGAAGATGAAGAATTGGTGGCCAACAATGAAAGAGCGGATGTGCTTCATACTTCATTAGAAATTCACATGAACCATAACGCTTCACGGCTTACTTATGCCAAGGGGTGCCTTGCCGATTTATCATGTGATAATCTTGATTGCTTTATAGAGCTTTATGCGGAGTCGAAAGTGTTTGATATAAGATTGGGATCGTATCAGCTTTCATCTCCAAATGGCCTTCTTGCAGAGGTCAGTTTTATACAATAGATTTTTCCTGCATCTTTGTTCTGAGATTTTCCCATGACCCTTCTTTCTACTGCCCTTATTCTTCTCCCCGTTCTTTTTGCAGAGTGCAACACGTCATGATTCTTTAGTTGGAGCCTTTCGCTACAAGCCTTTTGATTCTGAAGTGGACTGGAGCTTGAGTGCCAAAGCCTCTCCATGTTACATGACGGTACGCTATCATGCTGATTCCATACAATTGTTAGATATTTAGCATATAGTAAGCTAAAGAAACTTAATCTTTTCCTTTCTTTGTCCAGTATCTTAAAGACTCGATTGATGAAATCATTAATTTTTTTCAAAGTAATGCTGCTGTAAGTCGAAGTGTAGCTCTGGAAACTGCAGCTGCAGTCCAGGTCAGTTACCTTTTCTACAAATTAAGGTTCTTCCTTGGCAGTGGGGAAGTGTTATTCTTTTTTCTCTCTGTTCATATTCTGTTTTCCTATAACTAGTTTTTCTTCTGATTGTTCAATTGAATAGCTGGTTCGGTAGCTCACATTTATATTCTGCAGTTGAAAACCAAGCACATATTTTATGAGCAGAATGGCTCAATTTTGCTTCTCAATTGAAGGCATTAAATATTTTGAGATTCCCAATTTAAATTTGTGGTAGTTGGTAGATTGGGAAAGCATGCAAAACCATGTTGTGGATGGATTCTTTAAGAGGACTGAATTCATAAACAGTATTTTGCTTCTATATATTGTAGTCATGATTGCAATTTCAAGAAAATGATTTGATGGACAAAAGAAAGAAGGAATCATTAAATTGATAATGTGTCTGGCGAGTTCATTATGTTGTCTCATGGAAAGCCACAGCCTCACTTGTTGAGGTTGCAAAATTCTTTCTTCAATGATCCTGACCCCTACCATGCACCCCTACTGCTCTCGCTTGTGTACATGGGTCTTTATTTATTCTTGTAGCTTGTTAATTTATTCTTGTTGGACATGTTCTCTGCAGATGACTATTGACGAGGTAAAGCGTACCGCACAGCAAGAAGTAAACAGAGCACTGAAGAATCAGGCCAGGTTTGTCATCTCATGTATCATGCACCTATTAATTATTTTCTGAGCTGTGGCTACTATAATGTGACACTTGCTTTTTGCTGTTTATATCGACTTCTGTATGGCGTTCAATCTCTTAAATATCTGTTATTAGGCGTCTGCATAAGTGTTAATTGAACTTACATTTGGTTGCTGGCAGGTTTTTCTTGGATTTGGATATTGCGGCTCCCAAGATTACTATTCCTACAGATTTCTCCCCAGATAACTCTCACTCCACTAAGCTTCTCTTGGACTTGGGAAATTTAATCATTCGTACTCGGGTAATTCAGAGCCCTTTTTGGAATTTCATTTTGAAAACCTAGTAAGTCATATGGATGAGGAATTTTTATTCTGTTCAGGGTGATGATGAGGCTGTTCCACCTGAAGAACTAAATATGTACTTCCAATTTAATTTGGTCTTGAGTGATGTGTCTGCATTTTTGGTTGATGGTGACTATTATTGGAGCCAAGCCTCTCCAGAAAAAATTGATGCCTCATCTAAGTCTGCACTTATTAATTTCTTGCCTGTTATTGACAAGTGTGGTGTGGTTGTAAAGCTTCAACAGGTAATTACGTCTCCTTGTTTGACATTTTAAACGCGTTCATTTTGTAAATAATTCCATTGTTTCAATCATAATTTCCAGATCCGGCTTGAAAACCCATCATTTCCATCTACAAGACTTGCAGTGCGGCTGCCTTCTCTAGGTTTTCATTTTTCTCCTGCTCGGTATCACCGGCTGATACAAGTTGTAAAGGTATTTCAAGGAGATAGTAGGGATACAGCTGATCTTCCACGCCCTTGGAGTGAAGCGGATTTTGAAGGGTGGCTGTCTGTTCTTACGCGGAAGGTTGACATTATAAACTATTATCATCTGTTTGATCATCCGTTTAGTTCTTGGTTAATTGTTTTCCTTTCTAGTTGTCAGAGTTCAAACATGATTTTTCCTTTGTGGCTTCATATTGACTGGTCAATCTGTGTAGGGTATTGGAGGCAGGGATGCTATCTGGCAACAGAAATATGTGTGTATAGTTGGCCCATATCTTTATGTGCTTGATCATCCGAACTCTACCTCGTATACGCAGTATAAAAGGTTTAAGATACCCGTTTTTCCTGTTGTCTCAGTATTTCAGCTTGTTTTATTTTGGTTAGATAGCATCATTGAGTTGGTTTTCTTGTGGGGTAAATGGGTCACATCCTTCCTCTCTGTCTTTTATATCTTACTCTTCCATCTGAAAATAACTTCACCCATTAATGGAAGTGTAACACCCATGAGAAAGGATGTAACCCACATTAACAGAAATGTAACACCCATGAGTGTAAATTGATGAGTTATAATAGAGAGATCGAGATGAACCGAAAGGTAAAAGGAATTGGGAAGTAGTATTGTCAGAAATAAATGGTTCTCCCTCCATCCTGTTGTGAATCACATGGGTGGAGCAGATATCTTGACTGTGTGTCTATATCTTTTCATTGCCAATAGGAAATCACATTTTTCTTCTGCTGAGACTGGAAATGAGGTCTCAATCTGAAAAAGTGATTTGTTTTGTTCAAGTAATTATCCTGAAGAATTGTTTCGGTTTTTGAAATGTATAATAGATAGGACTTTCAGAATTGTTTTCTTAAAAATAGGGTATCTATGGTGGAGGTTGAGTTGAGTCGTCGATTTGTTAGTCAGCATTGTATAGATTGGAACAACTATAAGAGATTGTTTTCCTTTCTCACATCCCATGAGAATTTATACCTCGCTATGTTTAACTGGGGCCTGCTTTCTATTTTGTTAGATGTACGGCAGCTTTAACTGGGACACATTAATGGTTTACTCGAGACTTAGCTAATGTAATCTCATGCACGTGAAATTCAAAATATTTCTTAATGATTATCATTATTTATTTATTTATTTTTTCGTCTTTTTACCCTGACGAATAGATAAAACTTTATGGCTTGACAAATAAGTAGCATCTTGCTATGTTTAACTGGGGCCTGCTTTCTATTTTGTTAGATGTACGGCAGCTTTATCAAATATGATGGGCTCCGGACACATCAATGCTTTACTAGAGTCTTACCTAAAGTAATCTCATGCACGTGAAATTTAAATTATTTCTTAATAATTATCATTATTATTTTTTTCGTTTTTTTTCCTGACAAATAGATAGAACTTTATGGCTTGACGAATAATTAATAGTATTTTTTTTTGTAAGTGCCAAGGCTTTACAAAATAAACCTCTGTCCCAAATAAATGGTCCCCATTGAGTTTCAAAATTTGTAGTAGATTTAGTTCAAATTTCAAAACTCAATGTGGACTATCTTTTTTGGGATAGGAGGAGTAACCCTCTATATACTGTCAAGAACAAAATGGTCCTCTTGTCCATTTTCTCTGATTATTATTGTATAACTGTCTATCGGTCTACATCCAATTGCTAGAAAGCACACACTGGAACCCAAACTGTCCACTAAACCAAAATGCCAGAAAATAGAAAGAGTTCTTGGATATAGGTGGAGTGCTGGGAAGTAATTTGGGAGAGTCGTTTAGGCTGGAAACACTGACTCTGGGAAGAAGAGGACAAGGACCTTGATAGAAGATAGAAAGAAAGAATCCGAAGAGGCTGCACGTTGGTGTGATAAACAAGGGTACTGAATGTTACAGAATGGTTCTAGAGTCAGTCAGTAGGTATTGTGAGCGATAAAAGATTTTAATTTTCGTGTGATTTAAGGGCAAGGAATCTGGATAACCGGTTGCAGAATCGATATGCATTAGATATCTTTAGCTTTATTTGTTTGCAGTGGCTATTGGCTTCGCGTTAAAGTGAAAGATTCATCCTTTTGATTTTTCCTGAATTGTGAAAGGAATTCTCACCCCCGAATTTATGAAAGTAATGTTTTGTTTGCCTCAGCCTTCGGGGAAAGCAGCTATATCAAGTGCCTGCTGACACTGTTGGCGATCTGGATTATGTGTTGGCTCTCAGTGACTCAGAACGATTCAATGGCAAGGTTATCCCTGAGCCGTAAACTCTTTACAGATTGTGGTTATGTTTTATTTGGGAAGTTATCTCTTTTATTCCCTGTTCCTCTGTGTTGGCGTAATCTAATTACATTTCCTTGCAGCTAGTGGAAGATGCAAGTAATCTACTTTTTCACTGCGATTCTGAGGATGCATTAAGGACTTGGCAGAGGTGGCTGCAGGGTGCCATTTATAGTGCATCGGTATATTCGAATCTTATGAAATTTATATTTAAGTTGGGATATGGAAGTGGTATTGTTTTGAGTTGTATGTTCAAGGATGTTTTTGGAAAATTATGCATGAGTAAATTTTTCGAACTTCTTGTTAGAAGGGATTTTATTTTCAGCATATCTTGGTCTGCAAACTACTTTCTGGATGTATCGTAACTCTAATTGTTGAACTAGCTTAAAGAGGCCAGTGTGAGTGTTTTATGCTCATTTGCACCATGGCAACATATACTTCATATATCTGGATCCATGTAATGGGATAAAGGCTTCATCATTTTGAACCTTTTTTTATCTTGTCAGTGTATGACGAGGTGCTACGACACCAATGCTAGTGATGTTATATCATTTCTCGGGTGACTACGTATTTGATTGAGATTTACTTCTAGTTTTCTGTGAGGAATTGATTTGAGAAGATTTCCTAGTAAGATATTGGAGGAGGACTGAGAGCCTCCAAGTTTAATGACAGTTCATTTTAAGCCAGATTTATTAATGATGGCTTTATACAATTCATGCTGAGTTAGCTCTTAGGGTTAAGTACTTTGAGATAAGTATATCTACTGCGTGCTGAGAGTTTTTTTATTTTATTTTATTTTATTTTATCAAATTATTATAAGTACTTAGCTGGCGATTGCCCGATGTATGATATTGATAATCCCTTGTTTTTCTTGTAGTTTACTTGTTATGGTACACTTTTTTTTTTTTTTGGTTTTAAATCAAAACTCTGTTATGATGCATTAAAATGTTCCCAGCATTTCAAAATGCTTCGCAATCTTGATTCTGAACCTTATGTTTCTTTTTCTTCTAATGGTCCTTGGATGGATTTGGATTCTGGGGTAATGGAACTGCATGCTTTTGCAATTCTCTTGTTTTCGTCTTAATTAAGAAATGTATTGGATTTTCTTTGCCTTTACTATGCCTTCTCTTTTTGCCCTGCAATTATTGAATATGATGTCTCTCTGTTTTGGTTTTTGTGGAGCAAAGTTTAAGGTTGCAAAACTTCCAAATGCCTGAAATAGTTGCTCGAATGAGTGAATGTATCTGGGGTCTGGTTCTTACAGCTCATGTTTTTTAATTGAGGACGAAGCACATTTAGATGTAAGGACTTGTTAGCTAGCAGACTTAAGTGTTTGGTGGATGCCTTGATAGATAGACATAGTTTCCTCCTTCGTGAAGTTTGGCAGTTTTTGATAGGTGCAGAGTGGAGATCTTTCAACATGTTCTCCTTGTATGTTCTATGCGGTCTCTGGAACATAAAAACTACTGATAATTTCATGGGCTTTCGCAATTGGTTTGCACCTATTTTTCTAGCGAGAAATCCTTAAAAAAATTACGTGCTCATAGATGTTAGTTTGAAAAATGACTGCCGATAATATCTATATATTGCCCACAACAATTAGTTACTGTCTCATGTGTTTGTAGGTTTCCCTTCTGTCATTTGCAAAGAACTTTCTGAATTAAATATTTAGGTCACTTGGGATTTGATGTGATCTGTATTCTTGAGGTACCATTAGAGTGGAAAGATCCTTTAGGTGATGAATTGTAAAACCATTTTTTAACGTTTATCCAACCGTTGGAAGTGGTTTCATGACATTTTTGGAGTTTTAAGTCTTTACAGTTAAATTCCTGAGTAGTGATCTTCATGATATTGGAAAGGGTACTTTAGAGGATGTATTAAGATCCCTTATGCGGTTGTAATCAGTTGCTTACATTTTTCTTTGTCAGTTATCCGTTTCACTAAGAATTTGTGTCCTCGTACTGTGAGATTTCTCACCAAACCAACTTCTCTTGCAGGGTTCCGCGCCTATTACTGGTTTATCAGAAACCTCATCAGACACTGACTCAGAAAATGATCGTCTCGACGATGAAGACCTCATTCATTCTTCAGTTATGGAGAAAGTGTTTTTGACTGGAGTACTTGATGAACTAAAAATTTGCTTCCATTACAACAGTAAGGTAGATATGAACAAATTTAGATGGTTGATATATTGCTGTGCGATCCCTTATTGATATATTTGTCACGGCTGATTTACTTTTTACAGCATGATCAGAATTTCGTGAAGGTCCTCCTGGCCGAAGAAAGCCGCTTGTTTGAACTCCGAGCAATAGGTGGTCGGGTGAGATTTTTTTGCTAGTTCTCATTGTTGGCTTGTTCTGTTTATTCTTCTTAGTTTAACTGATTTATTTTTTCAGGTTGAGCTTTCTATCAGAGGAAATGATATGTTTATTGGTACAGTCCTGAAAGCACTAGAGGTGGAAGATTTAGTATGCTGCAAAGGGAAATCTCAGCCTTGTTATCTTGCAAGATCCATCATCAGGAGTTCCGATGCACCTGTTTTGTCCGATAATATTGACGATAAACGCCTTTCAAGTGGTGATTATAGTCAAGGAGAAGGTGATGATGAATTTTATGAGGCATCTGAAACTCTTAATGAAGAGAGCCCCCAGTCAGTGGGAACTGAACAGCGTTCTCATTTTCAGAGCTTTGGCCTGTCAGATAATCATATTAAATCTCCTAGTTTCTCTCGTCTTGTTGGTCTCCTTCCTTCTGAGCATGGGGATTCTGGAGCTGATAACTTTGTACCATCTAATCAGTTAGACAGCTTTGTGAAGGCCCAAATTGCTGTATATGATAAGAACTCAGCTGTTCGTGAGGGTATTGAGACAAAGGTTAGCTATTCTTTAGATTCAGCTTCAACTCCACCCCACCCCAAACCAACTCCTTGCTGGTTTGGCTTTGAACAGGTGTTTTTATTTGTTGGTACAGGTGGCTGTCACCCTTGCGACGCTTTCATTTTTCTGCCGCAGGCCTACAATACTGGCAATTATTACTTTCTCGAATGCCATAAATATGGGAGATGACAATCGCAATTCTTTCAGTGATTCTTCGACTTCTACAGAACATGACGATGTCACCGGAGAAAATGTCGAGGATAAGCTGGCCTCTGTTATATATAAGGAGCCTGTGGCAAAAGGTTTCATTGGGAAGGGAAAGTCCAGAATCATTTTTTATTTAACATTGAACATGGCTCGAGCTCAGATATTTTTGATGAAAGAAAATGGATCCAGGCTGGCCACTTTGTCGCAGGATAATTTTCTTACTGATATTAAGGTTTTTACTTCCCCCTTAGTAACTAAATTGGTGGTCGAGTATGTTCAGTCTATTTAAAGCTTATACTATAAAATTTTCTTCCTTCAGGTGTTTCCATCTTCTTTTGCTATAAAGGCATCGCTCGGTAACCTACGAATCAGTGATGACAGTCTTCACAACAATCATATATATTTTTGGGCCTGTGATATGAGAGATCCTGGTGGCAGCTCATTTGTGGAGGTATTATGTACTGACTTTATCTCTTCCCGTCATCGATAGTTTGTAACTGAAAACCTCACAAATGTTTCCTTAGTTTGCTTTCAGTGGTTTCGACTTCAATGATTTTATTGTGTGCTCTTCTGTAGTACATTATTCTCTGGGTAAGTTATAGTTGCCTCTTTGGATTAGGGGTAGTCTTCCCTTCTGTAATCTGACCCATCTCGGAGTTAGTAGCTTTCGGCCTTATTGCATTGTGGCCCTGGTGATCGATCTAGGGATTTTAAGGACTGAAGCTCTCCATGTCTAGGTGTTTAAATCATATGAATGCAGAAACCTTTGTAGGCACAGTGAAATTTTATTGTGTCCTGTTATGAAGATGTTGATGGTGATAATCTGAAAGTTTTGGGTTTCAATTAAGAGCGACCGGTCCCAGCCTTCCAAGCTCTAGATTTTGTCCCTCTTCCATGGTTTCATTTTGTTATGTTTCCGAATCCACTTGTGTTCTATTCTTGGCATATTGTTAAGAAGGGTTTTGAGAGCCAAGTTTAAAGTATTCAGATGCAAATATTTAATGAAGAAGTTTTGTTTGGTGCTTAATCCATCCCCTGTTCCATAGTTGAAATCAACAGTGTCAGACCTACTGCTAAGTACAGTTATCTGGGCAAACACTTGGACATAGGTCCGAGAATCTGGCGTGGATTTAAACAAATTATTCTGGCGTGGATTTAAACAAATTATTCCTTCGAGTTTTACTTAATTTGTTTTATTTTATTTGGTATTAGATCCTTGAGTTTGTAAATAGTAATTGTTGGGATGCTGAAGAGGTCAAGCTTGAGTTTTCTTTAATAGTGATCTCTCGTACTGATTACCTTTAGGGAGAGTGGAGGCAGCTAAGATTCATATAAGGGGTTTTTGGGTTAGATAAGATAGTTATATTTGAGTCAGCATTTAATATGAAATTTCAATGCTTTTAGAAGAATATTAATGATGAATGAATAAATGAAGATACGGAGATTCTCAATGTCATGAACACACTAAGACCATTTTCCTGTGAATTTTTTCTCTGCTGGGCTGCAATATATTTGTGATGGTTTTTAAGCGTAGAATCAAGAATAATCTAATTGTAAATTCTCTCATGAATCTTTACTCTTAGTTTTGTTCCATTTTCCATTTTCCCTTTTGATTGCTTCTGTTTAATCAAATTTTTGTTTGAACTTGCAGTTGATTTTCTGTTCATTTAACCCTGACGATGAAGACTATGATGGCTATGATTACAGTCTCACTGGTCAACTTTCTGAAGTGCGCATTATTTACTTAAACCGATTTATTCAAGAGGTAACTAATTCCTGTTTTTATGATGGTGTAACGACCTTTTTCGTTCTCAAACCTCAAATTTGCTTTGGGATGGCCTTTTTAGGTTATTAGCTATTTCATGGGTCTTGTTCCCAGCAATGAAATAGATGTGATCAAGGTAAAAGAACAAGGCGCAGATACCGAGAAGTCCACTAAAAATGCAATCGATGGTTCACCTGCTGTGAGATTGGATGTTTCCTTAAGAAAGCCAATAATTCTTATGCCTAGAAGAACAGACAGTCTTGAGTAAGTTTGGACTGCTGAAATCGTAATCTCTACCCATAACATGCAGTCTAATTTATATTCTTGATGCTAACTGTTTTTTTTTTTTTTTTTGGTTACAGATACCTGAAGCTTGATATTGTGCAGATAACTGTGCAGAATACCTTTCAGTGGTTTGGTGGCAGTAAAAGTGAAACAAAAGCTGTGCACATGGACATTATGATGGTTAAAGTAAGACTTGATGACTATTGCTACTTTTGAGACTTGCCTCCTGTGCCATGAACATATATTATTTACTTGTTTCTGTGCAAAAGGTTGTGCCGCACTTTTGTCCCAAGGCAAAAGTAGAAAACAGAAATAGAGAATGTCCTGTCTGTTTCTACTTGTTGGCAAGTTTCCTTATCGTTTCATTCCCCTTACAGAATTTTATGTGCATTACATGAAACTGATATGCTGGTGAGGTTTTTTTTTTTAATTTTTAATTTTTTTTTTATTTTTATTTATAATATTTAGAAAGGAAACACTTTTGAACCCCAATGTCATTTTTCTCAAGTGTGGGTTTTAACAAATATAATTTCCTGGTTGTATTGTAAGGTTGAAGACATAAATCTAAATGTTGGTGCTGGGAGTGATTTAGGAGAAAGTATAATGAAAGATGTCAAAGGCATTTCAGTTATCATCCAGAGGCCCCTTCGCGACTTGCTGCATCAGGTTCCTGGTTCAGAAGTAACTGTCAAGGTAATAAATTGAATCCTGAACTGGTTAAAGCAGTCCTTTTCTTTGCTCTTTCAGGAAGGAAAAGAGGACCCCCACGGAATTTTTTAAGGGAATTTTTCTTTATTATCTTTGATTGTAGTGATCTGTGAATTATTCAAATGCAAAGGAACTCATTGATTCACCCTTTGGAATAAAACTCAACCTTTTCTTCTGATGCTAACAACACCCATGCATTTAACGAAATTCGAAGTTAGTCGAAAGGGACTAGTTATCTGCATCTTAGTATGTTTCAGTGTCAGTAATTGTAAATGAGGTTGTTTTGTCTCTCAGATTGAAGAACTCAAGGCAGCTCTATCAAGCAAAGAGTATCAAATAATAACGGAGTGTGCCCAGTCTAATTTTGCAGAGACTCCTAATCTGGCCCCCCAGCTTAATGATATCCCCTTGTTTCCTTCAGCTGATGGGTCTGAACCATCTGTTCCTGTAGAATCTAATGCCGTAGAATCTGAAGTTCCAATTAGGGAAGCGTGGATCACCACCAAGGTTTCTCTTGCGATTGATTTAGTTGAACTGAGTCTTTATTACGGAGTAACAAGGGACGCATCTCTTGCAACTGTGCAGGTAATTGATTCTTCCTGTTTTCCTTTTTATCTGAGAAGTGTGAATCCTGTCTTCTAAATTGTCCGCTACTTTGCATTTCCATGAAAAAGCATAAGAAAATGTTGAAATGTTTTAGGGAATAGGGTTACTTCATTTGCCCAGTATCAGTGTACCTATAAACAGCAGAGTAAAGTTTATTACTTGACCTTTACCAATGGTGCTGTTGTGTCTCAATAATATACGTTGTAGGAAAATCAGTAAATTTAGAGAGGATCAGTGGTGGGAGTTTAGGAATATAAACAAATATAACCAATCTTTTGAAAGCTTCTGTCAAACCATTATTTGGAAGGTTGAAAATGTAGGGCGCCATAGGAAAATGTCACAGTAGGATGAAAATTATTGTGAAAATCTCCTGCAATTGTCAGAATGTGATGCATGGAATGGTGAATATTACGTGTAACCAACAAATTCACGAGATAAAGGAAACAAAAAGCTGAAGTAAATTATTCCATGTAGTTGTGTGAATGCCAAACATATAAATGGAGATAAAGTTTCCAAAATGGAGGTTAAAAAGTTAGTAAAAGATGCAGAGATGAGACCTGTACAAGAATTTTGTAAAAAATAGTAAAATGAGGGGAATAGAAAAGGATATTAAGCACAAGTTAAAGTAGGATGTTAATGCAAATGTTATAGTTTTCGATGAGCTAATCAAATTTTGACGGAACTGAATCCTATAATTTTTATGATGAATTACTACACCAGTCTTTGGAAACGAGGAGGTTCATATTTTTTGTGTCAAGAATCACACTTAGGAGGTAGAATCTCTGAAAGGAATGAGAAATGGTTAAGCATTTGATAGATGGTATTCAAGTTATAGATTATGAAACGGTAAAGACTAAAGAGTTCTTACAGAAGTTTGTGCTTGGTAGATGATCTAGTACTCTGGTGCTTTTTTTTTTTGGTTGTTGCATAGACCAGTTGTGAATGATTTGTTGCATCACTTAACTGCTGTTTTGAGTTAATTTAGCTTACCTAGTGTGTAACACGTTGTCTACCTGTCAATTATATATTTCAGGTTAGTGGTGTATGGTTCCTCTACAAATCTAACACACTAGGGGATGGTTTTCTCTCAGCAACTCTCAAGGACTTCACTGTGCTTGATGACCGTGAAGGAACCGAAAAAGAACTTAGGCTCGCAATAAGGAATCCTGCAACAATTGACTATAAGCAGAAAGATCTCTTGCCCAATGAAGAAACACATTTTGAGAGGGATAGCGAAGGGGAAAATAGGCGCGGAAAACTGGTTCCAACAATGCTTATTCTTGATGCCAGATTTAATGAATACTCCACATCTCTTTTATTACGTATTCAACGGCCGCAATTACTTGTCGCGCTTGATTTTCTGCTGGATGTTGTTGAGTTTTTTGTGCCCACAGTTCGTGGTATGCTATCAAATGAAGAGGATAAGAACTCCTCCCACATTGTTGATGCAATTATTCTTGATCAGTCCGTGTACTATCAACCTAGTGCTGAATTTGCACTTTCTCCTCTTCGACCTTTGGTTGCTGACGATGAAAGATTTGAGCTCTTTGTATATGATGGAAGAGGTGGGAGATTGTTTTTGCAAGATAGACAAGGTTTCAATCTCTCTGTTCCTAGCCTGGAACCAATGATTTACGTGGGAAATGGAAAGCAACTTCGTTTTCAGAATGTCATTGTCCATGTATATCATTCTTCCCCTTCTGGATTGCTTGATTTTGTTTACTGCACCAAGAATCTTGTAACTTAAATTTAGTTTCAGTTGGAGTAATTTTGTTTGTGCAGGATGGACAATTTCTAGACTCCTGTATCTTGCTGGGATCCAACAGCAGCTATTCGGCTTCAAAGGATGATGGGGTGTGTATTGAGGAAGGGGATGTTGGTCATTCCCAGAGTTATTCTGGGGAGAGTAGTAGCAATTTGTCTGCTAAGAATGCTGCTGTCACAAGATCTACCGAAATTACTTTTGAATTACAGGTATAAACTTTTCTATCATTACTTTGTATTTATTTTTGGTTGTTGCATTGGTTCAAGTTGTGCACTTTTGAGTCCTTATGGTCATGTTTTGTTTAATTGTGGAAGTGCGTATAAAAGTGCGTATATGGGCAAGTTAGATAATGTATGTTCCATTAGTGGTCTGGTGTGTAATTTGGATGATAAAAGATCGGGTATTCTCACGTCTTAATGTGCCTGATTTATCTTCTTGATTGCCGATTGATGAACAAGAAGGAAAATGGAAACTCTTTATGAATCTAATTGGCTCTCCTGTAGAAGCCTGCTAGATTGGGCTGCTTAGATGATTTTCTGTTCAAGTTGGACTACGCAAACTATTTTAGCATAACAGTGCTTTCAAATGCTACTTGATATTCTCATTTCCAGGATTCTCTTTCAGAAGATGTAAGCATTTTGAGGAAGAAAATGGGAATAAGCATAGAGTTGCAGTTGATAGATGTAGTGTGACTTTCGTTCTAGGTACTGGGGATAATAATGCTCCTTATTTTAGCGGTCTGCCTGCCGACAGGGAGATCATACTGATAGCCCTAGATGCAACTTCTTTATACCTTGGATATCATGATCATACCGATAATTTATTGTCTTATCTTTTCCTTTATTTCTCAGTTATTTCTTTTTTCTTTAATGGAAGTATTAGCAATTTGCCCACATATCTTGATGGGGCTCATTATAAACATGGAGCCCGTTCTTCTTCTTATGTAGGTAAGGTAACTGATTAAGTTACTCTTTGCAGGCTATAGGTCCTGAACTTACCTTTTATAATTCGTCAAGGGATGCGGGGAAGAGTCTCACCCTTTCCAACAAGCTTTTGCACACGAAATTGGATGCTTTCTGCAGGTCAGAATTGTCCCGCCTATTTGTGCTTTAGCAGTATTGAGCATGAACTGTTGGGGTTGGTGTTTGCTCTAAATTCCTTGGAGTTTTCCTGTGCCTGATTTGCTCAATTAAACTAAATTCTTACAACTATATATTTCTAAGCATTTGATGTTGAGATATTCTCTGAGAAGTGAGAACTGGATGCTTTGTAATGTAAGGTTGTATAACTGATGAATAATTTAAAAGTGCTGTATGTGATCGAAATATACAGCCAGGAAAATCTTACATCATTTTGTCTGCTGTAGGCTTGTTTTAAAGGGTGATACCATTGACATGAATGCTGACATACTTGGATTTACTATGGAGAGCAATGGAATCCGGATTTTAGAGCCGTTTGACGCCTCTGTGAAGTATTCCAATGCTTCTGGGAAGACAAACGTGAATTTGATTGTTTCAGATATATTTTTGAATTTTACCTTTAGCACTTTAAGACTATTTCTGGCGGTTGAGGATGATATTTTGGCTTTTCTGAGGACGTCTGCCAAAAAAATGACGATGGTGTGCTCCGAATTCGACAAAATTGGAACACTTCAAAGTAGGTAACCTTGTTCAATTGATTGTTCATCTTACTTTTGTTATGAAACTTGGAATTCTACTAAAAGGGTGAAAATGACATCCTTGATTTTGTATACCTGCAGACCCTTCTAATGACCAGATGTGCACATTCTGGAGACCGCGTGTACCGCCTGGTTTTGCCATATTGGGTGACTATCTGACACCAATGTAAGCAAATTTCAATAGAAAGTTTCTTTTTGCTTGATGGGTTGCTTCCAAGTGTGAGCATAATTTGCTTTCATATGACAGTGACAAGCCACCAACTAAAGGAGTGATTGCTGTTAACACTAGCTTTGTAAGACTGAAGAGGCCTGAATCTTTCAAGCTTGTTTGGCCCTTAACTTCAATAGACCATGATGGCCATAGTCAAGGTGAAATTAATGGTGAAGTCAGCAAAGGTGAAGGTGAAGGTGAAGGTGAAGTTTCCATATGGTTCCCTGAAGCACCAAGAGGTTATATATCATTAGGCTGCGTGGTTTCTCATGGAACAGTCCAACCTCCTGTATCTTCTGCTTATTGCATTTTAGCTTCCTTAGTTTCAACCTGTGGCCTAAGAGATTGCGTAAACATTCACGTAAAGTAAGTCAATTCTTCTTTTCTCTAATTTCGTACACGCAAGCCAACACTTTGGGATCTGTAATTAAGTCATGCATCTATTAAGGGGTGTAAAAATTAGTTGAAAAGAAAAAATATTCCAAATGCTTGTTCCTTTTTTTGAGTAATTATAAAAGTGAAAGTTCCTGAGAAATAACATAACTGGCTCATTTTGCTTTGGTGTTTTTTTAGTTCATAAATTGGCTGTTTTCTTCTGTACGTTGTACTAGTTTATGAAATCAAAGTGGACTAAATAGTTCTCTTTTATTTTCAATCTTCAGAAATTCCAGCTTAGCATTTTGGCGTGTGGATAATTCTCTGGGCAGCTTCTTGCCATCAGACCCAAGCAATATGGATTTGATTGGTAGAGCTTGTGAATTGCGGGAAATAGTTTTTCGTTTTCCTGAAATCTCACCTCAAACTTTAAGAATCTCGGACATTGAAACACTTCCATTGGGTCGTGAACATCAAGTGCAGTCTGAAAGGTCATCAACTGTAAATTCTGGGCGAAGGTTTGAAGCTGTCGCTTCTTTTAGGCTGATCTGGTGGAATCAAGGATCAGGATCTAGAAAGAAAGTTTCCATATGGCGCCCTATTGTTCCCGAGGGAATGGTTTATTTCGGTGATATTGCTGTCAAGGGGTGCGTGATGTATCAGTATTTACTTTGCTTTTTTCTAATTGCTGATTTGCGCTGAATTCCTGTGTGCTTTTGGGATAGTTATTTCTTCTCTTTTTTCTTTTCCCCCCTAACATATTATGGGACATTGCCCCTGTTTTGTGATTGGTTTGAAGGTATGAGCCGCCAAATACATGCGTGGTTCTTCACGATTCTGATGAGGAGCTATATAAGCTCCCTTTGGACTTCCAGCTCATTGGACGAGTCAAGAAACACAGGGGAGTGGATGCTATGTCCTTTTGGCTTCCTCAAGCTCCACCTGGCTTTGTTTCTTTGGGATGTGTTGCGTGTAAGGGTACTCCCAAGACCTCGGATATATTCTCGTTAAGATGCATTCGCAGTGATATGGTCACAGGAGATGAATTCACGGATGAGAGCTTGTGGGACACATCTGAAATGAGGTTTGTTAAAGAACCATTAAGTATATGGAGCGTTGCCAATGAATTGGGTACCTTTATTGTACGAAGTGGTTTCAAGAAACCCCCGAAACGGTTTGCTTTAAAGCTTGCTGCTCTGGACATAGCAAGTGGTTCAAATGACATTGTGATCGATGCCCAACTGAAAACCTTTTCTGCAGCTCTTTTTGATGATTACAGTGGCTTGGTAAGTTGTTTTATATTGACTTCTTCTATACTGGAGAAAGGTAAAAGTGCACTTAATGTTCGTATAGGAAGCTTAGGTCAAATGCATATACTTATTATTCTGCTTGCTATAAGGGCAATAGTTTTAAAAAAGTGACCCTATTCTGAGATGAAATTTGGTGTAGCAGAAACTGCTCCGTTAGAATATACCGCATCGAAGTCCTTATGATAATCGAATTCAGGAAAATCGGGCAACTGGTGGTATTTGCCTCCTGATAGTGGATTTTTATAGAAGTACAATAAAAATGGAACCAACCAAAGTGGGTAACTTTTATCTGGAAAGTTGACTGCAACAACTCGGCTTCTTTGAGTCGAGTAGTTTTAAAGGATATTGATCTTGTTCATTATCCTTTTCTTTTGAACTTTTAGTGTATCTTTCTTCTCTGCACTGCTATAACTTGCAGATATCCTATTCGTCTATTCCTTCTCTTGTTCTAAATTACTAAGTTCAATCACCCATTTCATGCTGGGTAATTGCAGATGGTTCCATTGTGTAATTTGTCCCTTAGCAGCATAAGGTTTGATTTACATGGAAGATCAGACTTCTCCACTTCCTGTATCAGTTTTTCATTGATTGCTAGATCGTACAATGACAAGTATGATTCATGGGAACCCCTCATTGAACCAGTTGATGGCTTATTGAGGTAGTACTCCATGCCAAATTCTCCCTCTTTTTCTCTTTTCCCTTCTTTGTTTGAGTTTTGTGTTCCGGTGAAGGTGGTGGTTTTCATGTTGATCATAGCTAATAGGATTTAAGCTCCAGATTTGAAGATCTATTTTCATCTTGCATACTATAACATGCCAACTTTTGGATGTAAGTATGAAAATTGCATAGGAGTTCACTGCTAGCCATTTTGAGACAAGCCTGCCATTCGAGTCTGTTTGTTTCAATTGATTCCAGGGTGAAAACCCTGTGTACTTAGGAGAATGTCTTGACCATCTTGTCTTTTGTGGTGCATTAATGTTTGATTCTATACTCTTCATAATCCATGCTGCGATGTTTTCTTTTTAGGGATGGGGGGTTTGAATTATATGTCTCTCATTTGTAACCAGTATATTTAATATTGGTATGATGTATTTGACAGTCATTTCGATTAACAACTGTTCCACTCTCATTCAAAATTATTTGTATTTGATAAATTACCAGAAGGATGCAATACAGTATGTTTCAGAACCTCAGTATAGGGGAAGAAATTTTCTTCTGGAAATACATTTTTGGTGAAATTTCATGGTTCTCTTCCATGGTTGTATTATTCAATCTTTTGGTTATGCAAACTTTTCATCTATCCAGCCACTTTGAAATATAATTTTTCCTAGACTTGGTTGGAGATGGAAAATTAGATTATGAATCTGTACTTTGCTGACTGACATTTCACCGAGATGTGGAGACTTGTTAAGAGGAAGCCAATTTTGAATTCTTTTGATTTTGAGTACGCAGTTATAAGTGGCAGGATAGAACTTTAAGGCTATCTGTTTATAAAGAGCAAAAAGTCATGACCGCCATGCTCTAATGTTATCTTCTTGTTTTTCTCGAAAGTGGATTTCTGCATTTGCAGGTGTACTTATGAACTTTTTTTCAATTGTTATCATATTTCTTTTTTTTTTTTTTTTTTGAATGTCTCGAAAGAACCGGGAAATTACTTTTGTAACTCAGATCCAAGTAGCTGACGCTTTTTGATGCTTAGAGTTAATAGTGCTGCTCATTCATATATGTTCAGCTCATCATTTTCATACAGCATCATCAGCAGCCCTATTTGTTTCACCTTACATAAGAATTACATCGAATATCAGCCATCGGCTTAAGCTCTTCATAAAATCACTTTGCACAGAAATGCCGGTACCTTGGTTCGGCATATATCATGCCTGCAAACTACAATTAAGTCACGTTAGCCGTAGAGTCAATATACATCATTAGCTAACACTGCATATTCTTTTCCGCTCTAATGTGATGTTTTGAGATGATTCCGGTTGACAGGTACCAGTACAATCCCAATGCACCAGGTGCTGCTTCTCAACTGCGTTTGACATCCTCTGGGATTCTGAACTTAAATGTCTCTGTATCCAATGCCAATATGATATTTCAAGCTTATGCAAGTTGGAACAGTCTGAGTAGAGTTCACGAGTCTTCCACGGTATTTCTTAATAATTGTAGCAACCTTTTATTAATTAAAATTCAGTAGATTCATCCCTCCATTTACTTGCATTTTATGCATCTTTCCGGATTTCTTCTATTTTTAAATGAAACTTGTTCATGCTTAATGTAGTTTTGTGGGACTTGCAAGATTTGAATCAGATCGTTGAGGAACTTAGAAGTTGTTATATGCAGCCTTTGTCATTTGTTGGGAGGTTTATTTGTCTTGTCTTTTGATGTTAACAATTATCCAAGCTACATCTAGAGAATTGAATGATGCTTCTAGAAGTAGCCACAATATGCTGTTAGATGTACAAAAACCATTTATCCACTGTAATGTGGCAGTACTTGCATGAAACTGTTTATATTCATCGCTTGAAATGAGAACAACTACAGCATATTTAAATCTTCATAACTTTTGAAGTGTTACTCTGTTCTCAATTATGCTGGTATGATCTAAATCTTTGCTGTAGGAAGCTTTTTATTATTGAGTACTATAGACACCCACAATGTGTAGAAATGAAGTAGTATGTTTTGTTATTGACGTATTTTTCTTTATTCTCTGGCTTCAAGAACCAGGAATCAAATTCTCCAACAGGCAGAAGGGATATTATTGACATGCACCACAGAAAGAATTATCATCTCATTCCAGAGAACAAACTTGGTCGAGACATCTTTATCAAAGTTACTGAAAATTTGAGTGTTTCTAACATCATTAAATTGCCCCCAGGGAAGACGAAGCCGTTGAAGGTGCCAGTTTCTCAGAATATGTTAGATTCTCACTTCAATGGAAATCTCAGTGGGAAAATGGAACAGATGGTGACCTTTATAGTTGCAGAGGCGGAGGTATAATCTATATCCTGCCTTCATCAACTGATTATGCTTTTTGCCTACCTAAGAACAATTCTTTAGGATGATAGATCGCTGCATCTCTAGTCATTGACTGAGAGCACTGGTAAATGAGTCTGATTACGTTTGTTTTTCTTGAAACTTGATTAATTTTGTTAGTAGTAAATATTTCACACTGCTTTGTTCAACATAATGCTCTCATTAAGAAGTAGACTGAGCGAGGGGTAAAGAGAGAGAAGGGGGAGGGAGAGGGAGGGGAGAGAGGGAGAGTCTGACGGAAAAGAGAGGCTAGTTTCGATGTTTAATCACTTTGTAGTTAGAAGCATTAAATCGCAAAGACTGGGCACTGGTGCAAGTTCCTTTTACAAGCTAGCTGTTTGGGTGGTCAAATACTTCTGAGGGAGAACGCAGTTTTCACTTTTCAGATATCTAAGGAATACTCAGCTAATGAGCCTTTCGATAAGAAACAACTTGATTCAGTAGTTTTATACACATTTATGTGGTTTTATCCCTATTAAATATAGACAAGTGACGCGTGGTATTGCTACTGACTCGACTAAGCTTGAGGTGTTGAAATTGTGTGGAGGATTTGGAGTTTATAGTTGGCAGATTATGTGCTTGATGTCTCTTGCATGAGTAACATGACCAAAAACTCTAGACCTACTCTTCTGCATCACTGAACTAAGGTTTTTTAGAACTAGATTTCAGTTTCAATCTTGAGAATGACTCAAACTGAATTTTGATGGGGGCTCTACTCTATTCGGAGAAGCTTATTAACTATCTAATCTAGTTCGCTGGCATTGTATGTCCTTTTAATCTGGAATTTATTTACTATGTGCATTGTATGCAGATCCCAAAAACGGAAAGTTTGTCATCTTGCCAATATGGTGTTACCGTACGACTTACTCCAAGCCAAAGCCCAAGTGTTCAATCGCAACAGAATCAGCAAAGTGCTCGGACTTCTGGAGCAGGAGCAGCTTCCTCTCCCGGAGTTGAGATTGTAAAATGGAATGAAGTATTCTTCTTTAAAATTGATTCAGCGGTGCGTACACTGATAGTTCTGATAAGTGGGGATGATAAATTATTTATATATTGTGCTTCCAGATGGTATTTCTAGTATGACTGTTGTATGGATGTTTATTATTCTGTAATGGCTGACATAAATCTGTTGAGAGAATAAACTCAATAGTCTTTTCAGTTAAATTGGCGCTGGGTGATTTTTGATAAGTTTTCAGTCTTCTTTTTGGATACTCCATCTTGTTGTTGTTAGATGAGCCTGTCATGTTTTAAAGACTGTAACACATGAAATCTCTCACTTTAAGCTCAATAGGAGAATACTCATCCGAAATTAGGATTTTTCTTTTCTCTCTCCCCTAGGCGACCATGATACCATTCTCTGTGACAAAAGAAATTGAACATGCCTGAGAAGATTATGTTGTTCTCTCTGCTAAAAATTTTGCGGTGTTGATTGTTACATAGGATTCCTACACGGTGGATATGATTGTGACAGACATTGGGAAAGGTATTCATATTCTTCCCTTGAATTCTCTTTTTTTGTTTAGTGTAGTTGGTTTGGTTTAGCATCCATACTACATGTACTAGGTTGTCTTGGTCTTTCTATTTTTCTTGTCCATCTGTGTGTTAAATTATTACTTCAGGGCGTGCGGGCTCATAAGGTCTTTATGATCATAAATTTTCGCAAAGTTTGCTATTTTGTAAGGGGTTGAAATTGTATCAATCAACTACCACCTGGAACTTTCCAGATTGGTAGTGCTCTTAACTGTCTTTAACATAGAAATCATTTTTCAGGCGAAGCAGTGGGGTATTTTTCGTCGCCATTGGAGGAAATAGCAAAACCTGAAGACAGCTCAACTGGCCTAGTGTGGCTACAACTGTCATCAGCAGAATCTGACGTGAGTGATGTAATCATTGCTAATGGCAAATTTTATTGCTTATTGTTTTATTCTGGTGCAAAAGTTCAGTGATCATGTCTGCTTCTTCCCAGGTTGCTGCTTCAAAAGAGATTGTAAAATTAAGTTCTGCAAGGATAAGATGCTCAGTACTGTTGTCACCTAAACCCGAAGTAGATGGGGAACGTTCGCTCATAGGAGAGAGAAAATCTGGGTCCTTTCAGATTAGTCCAACGAGAGAAGGACCTTGGACTACAGTGAGGCTAAACTATGCTGCACCAGCTGCTTGTTGGCAGTTTGGTAGCAAGCTTGTTGCCAGTGAAGTGAGTGTCCATGATACTGATCGTTATGTTACGATCAGATCATTGGTTTCAGTTCATAATGATACTGACATTCCACTAGAATTGTGCCTGAAGCTGTCATCTTCGAGTCAGAATAGTGCTTCTTTTGATGATAGGGGAATGGAAGCTACTAAAGAAAGTAACCAGTTTGTGACTGATGAGGTTTTTCAAAATGAGAAGTATGACCCTACTGTTGGTTGGGTTGAACTAGACTCCATAGAGGTTGGCATTCTGTCTAAATCTCTCTTGCTCTTTTGCCGTTATCTTTTGTGTGGCGTAAATGATTCCACTGTATCTTATTGAGTCTGAATTTATAAGGCTTAATTTAAATTAGAACTTGTTATCTGCTACTTTAACAACAAATATTGGTCCTTTACTGAGAAGTCTTGCTTCTATCTTGTGTTCAGGGAGCATTGAGTGATGAGTTGCCTTCAGGGTGGGAATGGATTGATGAATGGCATGTAGATAAAGGTTCTGTGAGTACAGCTGATGGTTGGGTTTATGCTCCAGACTTTGCACATCTAAAGTGGCCTGAATCATACAATCCTCTCAAGAATGTGAATTACGCCAGACAAAGGAGGTGGATTAGACATAGGAAGCTTATCTCGCAGGATATTATATCACAAATATCTGTTGGTATCCTCAAACCTGGTGAAATTCTTCCGCTTCCCCTTTCTGGCCTGACAAGCTCTGTATCATATGCACTGCAATTGAGGCCTTTGGACCTAGAAAAATCTAGGGAATACTGCTGGAGTTCTGTAATCAATAGACCCTATCCAGCAAAAGATCTCGGTAAAATCAAAGAAAATTCAGAAATATGTGTTTCAACTCTTGAAAGGACGGAGGAACTCTTGTACTGCCCTGAGATGAGTGGAACTTCATCAAATGGTTCACAAAGTATGTGGTTTTGTGTGAATATACAAGCAAAAGAAATTGCAAAGGACGTGTATTCTGAACCTATCAATGATTGGAGTCTTGCAGTCAAACCACCTTTGTCTATAACGAACTTTCTTCCTCTATCAGCTGAATTTTCTGTTCTTGAGATGCAAAGCAATGGTCATTTTCTTGATTGTTTTCGAGGAGTATTTAGTCCGGGGGAGACCATAAATATCTACAATGTGGATGTTAGAAATCCTCTGTATTTATCATTGCTCCCACAGAAGGGATGGCTGCCCCTGCATGTTAGTTGTTTCTGCCTTCCTCTTCTCGTTTTGTTTTGTCTCGATTGGGCAATACTTGGATTGTCTACTGACCATTTGATTTGAATCTTCAGGAGGCAGTTCTTATATCTCATCCTAGCAGAGCACCATCAAAGACCATAAGCTTAAGAAGTTCGATTTCTGGAAGGTTCGAGTTTATTGGTTCTCTATGATTAACTATTCTTTTCTTTCCTTTTATAATGCTTTGTAAAAATCTTTGGTTCCTTATTCTTACTGCTGACACCATGAGGTGGTGCAGAATTGTACAATTAATCCTTGATCAAACGGAGCATCATGAAGGGCTTGGGCAATCAAGAATCCTTAGAGTTTATTCGCCCTATTGGCTGGGGATTGCAAGATGTCCACCCCTAACACTCAGGCTGGTAGATTCTTCTGCCAGAAGAACAAAAAGAAAGCTTTCACTCCCTTTCAAGTCGAAGAAAACTGGTGACGTCATCCTGGAGGAAATAACTGAGGAGGAATTAGCTGATGGTTATACTATTGCATCTGCTTTAAATTTCAAATTTTTGGGGCTCTCGGCATCTCTAAGTCAATCAGGAGAACATTTTGGGCTGGTTAAGGATCTTTCTCCTCTCTCTGAGATGGTGGGTGATCTTCATTTTGAATTCTTCATTTTCATCTCAAGGGCCATCTTCACCTATTTTTCTCTTCCTCAATTTGTAGGATGGATCTGTGGACCTTTCTGCTTATGATTCGGATGGCAACTGTATGCGCCTATTTATATCTTCAAAACCTTGCGCATTCCAATCAGTTCCAACAAAGGTTTCCTGAAGCTTTGTTAAATCTTGTATAAAAGTTCGTGTATCTGGTACTGAACTGCTTTTGTTGCAGGTCATCTCTGTTCGTCCTTATGTAACCTTCACCAATAGGCTTGGAGAAAAAATATATATGAAGCTAAGCAATGAAGACGAACCAAAGATTTTGCAACCGGCAGATTCCAGAGTCCCATTTGTCTACCGTGAAACTGATGGACCAATGAAACTCCAGGTGAGTGGATTCTGCTTTATTTAACATGTTAATTGAAAGTGACATCTTACACACTTTTCCATACAAAAACTAAGCCTTTATCTCCATATGTGAAGGTAGCGATGTGATTCATGGTTTTATGCACATGATGCCACTTATATCACTTGTTTTCTTTTAAGGACTTGTCATAGTTTTGTAGGTCTGTCCCTGTCCAGTTTAATTTGATGTAAACATCATTTTCTACCAGGCATAATGGTCCTTTTTGGCTTTTTAAGCAATGAGCTTACTAATGTGTACAATGTGCACAAAGTTAAAGTACGCCATCAGTGATATGTTATGAGTAGCAACAACCTCTTATTGGCTCTTAAAAAGACATACTTAGAAATAAAAAGTAGCACATCTTAAAACTTCAAGTAAATGCCAGTTGAGAAATTTTTTGTTGTATTACCAGAAGGCCTTCTTTTATTGAACTTCTCGCTTTGGGATCTTCCTTCTCGTAAAAATTGGTCTGTAGATATTGTGTTTTTTCTTTTTTATTTACTTCTGATACTTACCTATTTCAATGTTTGCTGGATAGGTTCGACTGGAGGGTACAAACTGGACATTCCCTTTCCAATTAGTGAAGGAGGACACAATTTCTTTGGTCACTAGGAAGGATGATGGTACACGAAGATTTCTGAGAATCGAAATACGTGGCTATGAGGAGGGGTCCCGTTTTATTGTTGTCTTTCGCTGTGGATCACTTAATGGTCCTATAAGGTATCTCTATTCCGTCTTTCTCTCATTCTATCGCCCTACCCCCAACCACCACCCCAGTTTTAAGTTTCTGAGGTGGTTTGTTGCTGCACTTCTTGTTATCATTTACACATCTGCTGTGTAACTATCATCAGATTCTGTCCTGTTTCCATTATTTGTTTTGGTATTCAACCACTTGTGATATTCTTCAGGTTTGAAAATCGAACAAGAAAAATGCAGATGAAAATTCGTCAGTGTGGATTTGGTGACGATGCTCAGCTTCATTTGTACCCTCTTTCGACCAATAATTTCTGTTGGGAGGACCCATACGGCCAAAAGTTAATCGATGTGGAGATTTACGACAGTAATAGTAGTACAATATGTAATTTTAACTTAGATAACCCAGGTTTACTCTCTGAGGGTGAAAGCTTGGGCCTGTTATTACATGTCTTAGATTTAGGTGATATTAAGGTTGCCAGATTTTTGGAGACAACCCCATTAGCAAGTCCAAGAAATGGGCACAAGTCTATGATACCTGCGAGAAGTTTTCAAAGTTCCCTTATTGATACCAAGACGCAGGAGAATGGATCTCCATTAGAGCTTATAGTTGAATTGGGAGCTTGCGGGGTTTCAATAGTTGACCAGAGACCAAAAGAGCTTTCTTACTTGTACTTGGAGCGTGTGTACATATCTTATTCAACTGGCTATGATAGTGGAACTACAAGCAGGTAAACATGTTCTCTAAAGCATGCTGTCAAGAAATTTTCCTCTTAATCTTGCTTCCTTTGGAACTTAATATTTTCAATAATCAAATCACTTATTGCTTGTTTGTTTGTTCACTCATTTTACATTTTAACTCATTTTACCTCTTAAACACAAAACCCAACGGAAAAGAAAACATCATCCAAACAACTTTCTGATTTACATTTTAAAATCCAACTTGAAACACTTTTTGTTAGTATAGTGACCATTTTTTGGAACTAAAAATAGTTTAGTGACTAAATCCAAAACTTTGCACATTTATTTCAATTTGCTTCTAGTCAAAAAACACTTTCTACAATTGATGGTGGTTAGGAAAAAGTTTTTTTGGAATATGTATTGAAATATCAAGTAAAAAATATCACTAAACAATCGAAAAGTGTCAATTTTGGTCACTGTAAAAAAAAATTTCAAAAATTTATTACTAAACAACGGAAATGTGTCGATTTTGGTCACTGTAAAATATTAATTTTAGAAGCTATTCCGTGATTTTAGTGATCATTTTACAGTTGTTTAGTGATCATTTTTGAAATTTTTTTTTACAGTGACTAAAATAGGATTTCCGTTGTTGAGTGATTGTTTTGAAAAAGTTCAACTTTGTAGTGACTAAAATGGGATTTCCATTGTTGAGTGATTGTTTTTGGAAAAATTCTTTTTTGTAGTGACTATAATTGACAGTATTTAATTGTTTAGTGATGACTCTTACTTGATATTTCAAAATGTAGTTCAAAATATTTTTTTTCAAAACCAATATCCAAACAACTTTTTGCTCAAAATACCATCCAAACAACATTTTCATTTTTCATTTTCATTTCTCATTAAGTTTTCATTGATGGTCACCTGTTACGTCATTAAATCCCTGCTTACTTTATTTGTTCAAACAATTTTTTTGAACAAAGATTATTCTATTAGTCTAAGCTAATCTTTCACTTTCTACCTCTTGCAGGTTCAAACTCATATTAGGCTATTTGCAGGTAGACAATCAGCTCCCCCTTACAGTGATGCCTGTGCTGCTTGCACCTGAGCAAATGAGCGACATAAATCATCCAGTGTTTAAGATGACTCTCACAGTCAGCAACAAAAGTCTGGATGGGATTCAGATCTACCCGTATGTTTACATAAGGGTAATATTGCCTCATCAATTAGGATAGCTGTTCAAAGTACATTCTTTCCATGCTTCGAAGGACTTTTTAATTCAACATCTAATGGAATACTACACTGCATGATAGGTGATTGACCAATCTTGGAGGCTGAATATTCATGAACCCATCATTTGGGCATTGATAGATTTCTACAATTATCTTCGATTAGATCGTGTCAATCAAAGTTCCAGCACCACTCAAGTTGACCCTGAAATACGTGTAGAGTAAGAATCTTTTTTCTTTTCTGTGATTGTATGTGCTACCCTTTCCTTGTAAATCTTCCCTGTTTTAATGGAAATGAACATTTGCTTGCAATTGAATGCGATATTTATAAATTTACTTGGACACAACTGTTGATGAACTGAGATTGTGAAATGCTGAAAGGTTCTGAACAACCGCTGACAATTGCAACTTCTTTGATTTTTTTTTTTCAGCCTAATTGACATCTCAGAAATAAGACTTAAGGTTTCTTTGGAAACTAGTCCTGCTCAAAGACCTCAAGGAGTTCTTGGTGTATGGAGCCCAATACTTTCTGCTGTTGGAAATGCATTTAAAATTCAAGTAGGTGTTCAGTTGCAACTTGACTTTTGATTTATTTCCTCAGGAACCTTTTGCTTTGTAAATTTTGGAGGAAGTACTCTATAGTTGTAATTGTCAGTAGCACTGTTCTTGATAGCCGGACAAATTAGTAGCAGTCATAGAGCTTGTTCATTCGTAAATTGCAGTTTTTCTGCTAGTTGTCTCATACAATTATAAGATTTCACTTTTTTTCTTAATTGAGATTCTCTCTCTGTGACCACGTCTTCTTGTGTTTCTTCTCTTATGTCCTGGGTATAAGCTTGTGGGATTTTGGGGATTATGTAGGGTAGCTCAGCTATTTACAAGTCACAGATATTCCGGTAGTTAATAGTTCCTGCTTCCTCCTCCAACTTTATGATAGTTTTTTAATTGCATTGATCCTAAATCTCCTTCCTCTCTTAATCTCTTTCAGATCCATCTGAGAAAAGTCATACGAAGAGACAGATTCATGAGGAAAAGTTCTGTTGCTTCTGCCATTGGAAATCGGTTGTGGAGAGATTTGGTCCACAATCCTTTGCATTTAATTTTTTCTGTGGATGTCCTGGGCATGACTAGTTCAACTCTATCTTCTCTTAGCAAAGGTTTTGCAGAGCTTTCAACTGATGGGCAGTTTCTACAACTTCGTTCAAAGCAGGTACTCAATTGCCCTAGTTTCTGTTCACATTGTCTAGCTGTATATTCTCAATTTTTAAGAGTCACTTGGAAATAAATCAGGGGTGGTCAAGAAGGATAGGTGGTGTTGGTGATGGTATCATCCAGGGGACGGAAGCTCTCGCACAAGGAGTTGCTTTTGGAGTTTCAGGTGTCTTGACAAAGCCTGTGGAAAGTGCAAGACAAAATGGTCTGATTGGCCTTGCTCATGGACTTGGTCGGGCCTTCTTGGGATTTATTGTACAGCCAGTGAGCGGAGCTCTAGATTTCGTGTCACTGACTGTTGATGGTGTAGGAGCAAGCTGCTCCAGGTGCTTGGACATTATCCATAACAAGACACAACTGCAGAGAATAAGGAATCCCCGAGCCATTCGTGGTGATAATATACTTAGAGAGTACAATGAGAGGGAAGCTATTGGGCAGGTATCCACCTTTTCCTTTTCAGAAATATGTTTTGTTTGTCAATGAGCCTATTAAAGTTCCTTGTATGTTACTAAATTGGAGGTGAAACTTGTATGTTGCGGTATCGTTTTTCATAAAATAACAAAATGGCTGTCAAAACTGATCAGTTTCTGTAGTTTTACTTATTGTCTCATTATCCCAGGAGATACTGGATTACCAAGTAGTTTAAACGTTTCACCTCTACTTGAGAAAAAATAACCTTAATTATTGATGACTCTTCCCAACACTTATGGGGATGTATTGGGCTGTTTGTGCCCTGTGCGTCTGTGATGTTAGTTCTGATTATGGTATCAGAAAACAGTTTATTTTACTTTCTGGGGCAGAAAATTGAGCACTCTAATACACTAATTTCTATTGCCCCAAAGCCAAACACTGTGGAGTCGTAACACTTACGTGAGCATAACAATCTTTTTTGGTGTCACAGTTCGTTGAGTTGTTACACTTACAGATGTAGATGCTCCTAGTGCGGGCCAAAATGTACCAACAGTTCTTGTGGTTCTAGGCATAGCTTCTTGTAATTGGAACTGGGATAATTATTAAATCAGTCTGTTTGCATGTACTCGAAACTCCAATTTTAGATCACTCATTTTCTTGTGAACTCAATCAATTTTCTGTGGATGGTCTATTTCCTTCAACACGGTCTATCGGTCTTGCTCATCCTTGAATCTTTCCGCTTGTGCTTTGGACCAGAATATTTTCCAATAGTGACTGCCGTTCACTGATTACTTTAAATTTCAATAGCAGAATCAATGAAGCTTTCCTGTCCGTTACTATTATTGATCCTTACGAAATTTAGGTTCTACTCTCTCTCTCTCTCGAAATGATTGTCTAGTTTGGATTTTCATTCTTAGTACAATTTGACCTAAAAATAAAAATCCAAACTGGACAATCATTTCGGTGGGAGTATTATATTAGGCAATGTGATTCTCGTGGGAAGTTAACTTTTTTAAACTGAAACTAGTTGAAACTGGCATCAGAAACATTAAGCTTGGTTTTTCTGTGCAGATGATACTTTTTCTAGCAGAAGCAAGTCGACGTTTTGGATGTACTGAAATATTCAAAGAGCCATCAAAATTTGCTTGGTCGGATCAGTATGAAGATCATTTTATAGTACCATACCAACGGATTGTTTTAGTTACCAACAAACGAGTTATGCTGCTTCAGGTTGTGATCATTACCCTCTGCCATAACTCCTGCTTTTTCTTCCCTTCATCAATTTTAAATTTCAGCCATAGCTTATTTGATTTTTCGTGGTTATCTTGGGCCGTTAAGTGTGTTGCTCCTGATAAGATGGATAAAAAGCCTTGCAAGATCATGTGGGACGTACCATGGGAAGATATATTGGCTCTGGAATTGGCAAAAGCAGGTTTTCCTATAGCAACGCATCTTATCATCCATCTCAAAAGATTTAGGAGGTCAGAAAATTTTGTCAGAGTTATAAAGTGCAATACTGAAGAATTAAATGATGGGGAGCCTCAGGCTGTCAAAATATGTTCAGTGGTGCGTAAGTTTTGGAGGGCACATAACTCTGGCATTAAAAGCCGTATGCCGAAGGTATGCTGTCTCTTGTCTTCCAGGCTTCCTCGTGTAGCAATAACGCAATGCAGTACTTATTGTTTTGTCTCCTTATCCGTCCAGGTCTCAGCAAACCACAGACTTGTTCGCTTTTCTCACAGTGCAACTGGAAGCAGACCTCATCCTCAATCCAAATTCATTATAAAGTCAAGAGAGATTGCTTTATCTGGTTCTGTTGCTGATAAAAGATTTGTAACTCACTGTATGAACTTTTCAAAGGTATGGAGCAGTGAGCAAGAATCAAAAGGTCGATGTAATTTGTGCCAGAAGCAGGTAGCCTTTAGTTTACATTTTCTGGAAGTTCCATTATGTATTGTTGGCATCTAGTCCAATGACAAGAATCCTTCCGCACAGGCCTCGGAAGATGGTGGAATCTGTAGTATTTGGCGCCCAATTTGTCCTGATGGGTAATTACTTACCTTACTTGCTTTTCTCTGTGTAGGAAACTAGGACTCCGTTGGAGAATTAGACTTTTATGTGATAACCTAGATGGTGAGAGTACTTGAAATTAGCTAGAAAATTGGGCTATCTTGAAGTACACATGTTGCTAATTATCTGGCATGTGATTCTGCTTTCCATTCAGTAGTTTGTATCTGTGGTTTTTACCTTGATTGTACTCTTGGACTGCAATTCGGTTATGCCATTTGTTTCGATCTTAAATAAATTCACGCATGCCTCAGGTACATCTCAATTGGAGACATAGCTCGTTCCGGAAACCATCCCCCAAATGTTGCTGCTGTATACTGTTATTCTGACAAGCTCTTCACTCTTCCAGTTGGGTTTGACCTGGTAAGGAAATTTGGAATGTATGGATTAGTTATCTCTGGGCCTCTTTAATGTTTCTTATACGTTATGAACAATTTTTTGATGCATTTCCATTCTCAATGACTTCTCACCATTCCAGGGATCTGCAATACTGGTTTTCTGAAGTTTTTTTTTTTTTTTTTTTGGGATAGAAATATATATTCTACCCATCTTCATGCTCATCGTGCTGACATTTCAGCGTGTAATGTCCTTTTTCTTGCCGGCATTCTGTTGCAGGTTTGGAGGAACTGTCCTGATGACTACGTGACCCCAGTGTCGATCTGGCATCCGCGTGCTCCGGAGGGCTATGTGTTCCCGGGATGTGTTGCTGTGCCCAGCTTTGAGGAGCCAGAGCCGAATGCTGTGTACTGCATTGCAGAATCGCTGGTTGAGGAAACAGGGTTTGAAGAGCAGAAGATTTGGTCAGCACCAGATTCATACCCGTGGGCATGCCATATTTACCAAGTACAAAGCGAAGCTCTCCATTTTGTTGCCTTGAGACAACCTAGAGAGGAATCAGACTGGAAGCCGAATAGGGTGGTTGATGAACCTCAACAATCAGCTCAAATCTCAGAAGTTCAATGGCATCTGTAACATAATACGTACTGCCATTTGTTTATCCTTTACGAGAGAGAGTTGGCGGTTTTCGCTGAAGTTGTGTACATATAGGATCATTTGTGAGGATACAGAGAAACATTCAATTGAGCCCGATTCTGGTTTACCTTCTAAGTTTTAGTGGCCAACTTCCCGTGATTGTACAGATTGATCCTACCACTGCATTTTGATCGACATCAAAGAAAAAGAAAAAAGAACACTATAAAGGTGTATTGAGGATAGCAAAGTGCCTAGGCACAATTGAGTTCGCCACCTATGGATTTCATATAAGAAGAGTTATGTTTGAGAGTTTAGTTTAAAATTGTTTAATTTGTAGAGATTATTACATGATAAGATAAATTAAGATTTGAAAGTTCTGTTTTAGGTGGAAACAATGCAATCTTCTCATTTATATATACTTATTTACACTCAGCCTCCTACATTGTTAATTTGTGATTTTTAGGGACAAATATATATTATTACTCCTTAGTATTAATTTATAGACGACTAGTTTTAACATTCACCATAACATTGTGCAAATTTTTACTTCTCACAAATTAATCAAGAGACTAAAATGTCCAAATGGTCCCTTACATTTGGGCCTACTTGAATTTACGTCACATTTCAATATTGTAGTCCCAAACATTATGTTTTCAAACTTTTTTTGTCTTATTTCACTGTTTCCGGCCGTTGACATACTGGAATTAGGAGTATTTTTGTCTTTTAATTTAATTTCAATTTCTATTAAAATTTAAATCATTAAAAATATTTTAAAATTCAGATTTCATTATTTAATTGTTTAAATATTATTTATATATTAAAAATATTATTATAAAATTTTAAAATTTACATTATTTTCAAAATTAATTTTTTCCTTTATCATTTATCTTAGGTCAAAATAAATAGTAATTATGTTGTACTCTTAAACTTGAACCCACTGTAATTTAAAAAAATCTATTGTAACTAAATAATTCAAAATTCAATTTCTTTATAAAAAAAAAAAGCAAAACAAATTTTTTTTACTCTGACCGCTAAAGTAAACCCTAAATGTTAATTATATTGCACTTGTACCCACTATAACTTAAAAAATTTATCGAGTTACAGTAAATAATTTAAAATTCAATTTTTTTTAAGAAAAAAAGAAATAGTAAAACCAAGATTTTTTTTTACTTTGACCGCTACAGTTGAATTTTGAATTATTTACTGTAACACGATAAATTTTTTAAGTTACATGGGTCCAAGGTTAAAAGTGCAATATAAGGGTTTACTGTAGCGATCAATTACTTATAGTGGGTCTAAGGTTAAAAAAGCGACGTAGTGGTCAGAGTAAAAAAAATCTTGGTTTTCCTTTTTCTTTTAAAAAAATAAATAAATTTTGAATTATTTACTGTAATTCGGTAAATTTTTTAAGTTACAGTAGGTTCAAGGTGACAAGTGCAACATAATTACCATTTAAGGTTTACTATAGCGGTCAGAGTAAACAAAATTTTTGTTTTTCTTTTTTTTTAAAAAAATAAATTGAATTTTGAATTATTTACAGTAATTCGGTAAATTTTTTAAGTTACAGTGAGTCCAAGGTTAAAAGTGTATTATAATTACCATTTAGGGTTTACTGTAGCGGTTAAAGTAAAAAAAATCTTAGTTTTACTCTTTTTTTTTTCTAAAAAAAATTGAATTTTAAATTATTTACTGTAACTCGATAAATTTTTTAAGTTACAGTGGCTCAAGGTTAAAAGTGTAACATAATTATCATTTAGGGTTTACTGCAACGGTCAGAGTAAAAGAAACTTAGTTTTGCTTTTTCTTAAAAAAAATATAATTGAATTTTGAATTATTTATTGTAACTTGATAAATTTTGTAAGTTACAGTGGGCTCAAAGTTAAAAGTGCAACATAATTATCATTTATTGTATACTTAAAGTAAATAGTAAATGAAAAAAGTAATTTTAAAAATAATGATAAATTTTAAAATTGTATAATAATATTTTTAATTATTAAATAATATTTTAACAATTAAATAATGAAATTTTAATTTTAAAATATTTTTAATGATTTAAATTTTAATAAAAATTCAAATTAAATTAAAAGACAAAAATACTCCTGATTCTGGCATGTCAACGGCTAGAAACAGTGAATTGGGACCAAAAAAATGCAAAAATATAATGTTCGTGATTTAGATATTGAAATGTTAATGTTACGGACGTAAATTTAAGTAGGTCTAAATGTAAAGGACCATTTAGACATTTTAGTCTTTGTTTGATTGTTGAACACCATTATCATTATCATTTGAACACCACTATCGACCAACCCCATGTCAATATCGAGTGTTGACCAAAAGATGTGGAGTATAGAGTGGGTAATAAACTGTTCCATTAATTTAATCCCAAATAAAAAAATAAAAAAAATAAAAAATCAACTCATCACTGCTGTCGGCAGACCAAAAAAATAATATCTTTGGATCCACCATTACCCGCGTCTCGTTCGAGTCCCAAACTTCCCCAGTTTCAACAGACCCACTATAAAATCTCACCCAAATATGGAGTCAAAAACAAACCCCTCATTGAGATTTGATTGATACTCAAACCCATACAAATAATACATACAATATCTTGCTTTAGTTACAGATAAACAAAGATCGTCTTTTTACACAATCACAACAGTTACAGTTGGCAACAAATGGAAGGCCTAGTTAAGGGTTTGATCAACGTTGCTTTGGGCGGTGAAGAAGAAGAAGCACCACAGAGGAGAGACTCTCAATCTCGTGATGAAAACGTTGAACAGCGCTCCAGATCAACTTGGGCTCAGGTTTTTACTCCTTTGGTCCCAAGTTTGCTCCTTTATTTTGTTTTTTTTCCCCCTCATTTTGAAACGTTCTGTTTTTCTGTGGTTGTTTGGTGTTTTGGATTGATCAGGTGGTATCTGATGAGCCAGAAAATGAAGGGTTTAGCAGGGATCGTCGACATGGACATCATAGAGAGGTAATTGAATTTTCCTTTATCACTTCCTTTTTTTTTTGTGGTGGGGGGTTCACCGAGATTGATTCTTGAATGAAATGTGGGTTTTCATTTCTGTGTTTCTTGCTTGTAGGAGGAGGAGAACAATTATGGCAGGAACCAGTGGGAATCAACCGGATCGCGGCCTGTGAGGCCCCAGAGTGTTAGTTGGCTGTTTCTTCCTTTTTAATTTTTTAAACATTTTGGCAGGTTTTGGTGATTGTGATCTGAAGGTTGATCTTTTGTTTGCATTTTTGAGGTTTAGTTGTGGTTAATCGAGTTCAAAATTGTTTGCAGACTTTCAAATTTTGTGTCTTTTTTGCATTCTGTATGAACTTGAACTGGCAGTAGCTGCCTAATTTCTCTGCTAAATCTCTTGCACAGTGGGTTATAAATCTGAATCTGTTTTTGCATAGAAGTTCATTTAATTTAAAAACATTTGGGTGGTCGGGGGAAGGGGCATGTGGGTTTGATGACTGTGAACACTATCAGGTCTGAATTACCCTTGCTGGTAGCATAAGATTTCTACTCATTGAGTTTATAGAGTATGGGTTCAACAGTGCTCAGTGTGTTAGTTGTAAATTATAGGGCTTCAAGGGTTACCAATTTTTTCTTTCATTGGTGCACTCGAGTTGAAATGTTTGGGACACAATTCTAGCTGTATGGTTGAAACTTGATGTTCTTATTTTAACTTAATTGACAATCTGATCTGTCCATTCCTTATGATCTGTTGCACCCTATTGACTGATTGGAAATGCGGCAATCTCAAATGGCAGGCATCATACCAAGATGATGGCTACAATAGGCAGAATGATGAAAGAAGCAAATATAACAAACAGGTTTTTGTTGCTTCCAATATTTCTTGGGTGTGATGTTGAAAAGTTACTGCTAAGGTTTTTCATTAGTCTCAATGGGACTTGAACAGGAAGAAGCAGAGAGTAATGATGGTTGGGAGACTGTAGGGAAAAAGCCTTCAAGATACCAGAAGGTTTTGTCCATCACCATGTGAAATATCTGTTGAATGATCCATGCTTTCTTTCCGTCATTAGACTGTTGTGTTTGTTGCAGATACATACAGATCATTGGAACAACTATAAATGTGCTCCTGAAGAACAAACCTACGCTAGCGAGGTCAGTTATGGAAATGATATGGAGCCTTCAAGAGAAGAGCTTGCAGACATATCAAAAGCTTGCAGCAAACTTTGGGAACTTGACTTGAATCGTTTAGAACCTGGAAAAGACTATGAAATTGATGTTGGTGAGGGAAAGAAGGTTTATGATAGAGGAGACAGAGCAGAAGGAAGCCTCTTTTCCTGGGTGAATGAAGACATATTTAGGAGGCCTACCTTTTCTCGTTTCTGTTCCCTTCTTGATAATTACAATCCACATCAAGGGCAGAAGGAAAACGTAACATCTCAAGAGAAGCAAGAGCAAGCAGCATTCATTGAAGAAATTAGTCGAACTGCACCGTTCAAATATTTATACAATTATCTAGTAGCAAAGGGCATTGTCTCCCCAGGTTATGAAGAATTCAAGAGGATGATGACTAACTTCTGGTTTGACCTTTACAGCCGAGGCGGTACATATGGTTCATCTTCCGCTTTTGAGCATGTTTTTGTTGGAGAAATCAAGCAACAGGGAGAGCAAGAAGTCTCTGGGTTTCACAATTGGCTTCAGGTACATATCATCTTTCTCTGTGGATGTACTCAGAAGTTCTACTAGTGATAAATGATGCATTAGCATCTCTATGCCCTATTAATATTTATAATGAGTTTGTTTCATCCAGTTCTACTCTTTCCTGAAAATGACAATGTTCTCCTGTTCTTGTTCATGCAGTTTTATCTTGAAGAGGCAAAGGGGAGAGTGGATTATCAAGGTTACATTTTCCCTCGAAGACGCGGACAGATTGTAAGTTATACTATCTTCATTTGTGATGTGTATTTTAATTATAAATTTTGAGCTGGATGAGGAATCTTATGACTAAAAGCCTCTGGCATGTTCTTGTTTATTTGGAGGGCTCTTTTAAGCTATGGTTTTCATTTTGCAGCCTGATTCAGAATCTCAGTTGCTGACGATTCAGTTCGAATGGAATGGAGTTCTGAAATCAGTATCCAGCACATTGATAGGAGTGAGCCCTGAATTCGAGATGGCACTCTATACTCTATGTTTCTTCGTGGGAGGAGAAGATAATAATATTGAGCTGGGTCCATATCCTGTCAATGTGAAATGCTATCGTTGTGGAAACAAACTAGGTTCAGCTTTCCCTATAGCAGAGTGTTAAAAACGCATAAACTTACACAAGATTGTGCATCTGAGGCATAGTGTATCTTGTACAGCCTCCAAGATTGATAATAATAAATCCAACCCACGAACTCTAGATATATATAGTCGTATGTGGATCATGCACGATCGGCTTGATTTGTGTTTTTATTTTTGTTTGAAATGGTAGTCAAACCGACACCTATACTATTACAACGCATTTTTACAAAAGCTAAATTATGTATTTCACTAACTTCTAATTAGCTCACTTTAATCAGTGACTCAAAAACTAATCTAGTAGACCAAAGCGAGGAGATAATTTCCTGAGCTTCGAGTAGTTGGGTTATCTAACGTAAGATTTTCACAATCAGTATAGACTTGAACGCTTGTTAAACCCAAACTCAAAGTGTCTTTCATGGCTAACAAGCAAGTCATTGTTTCTGCTTGCAGTAGAGACAGGACAGTGATATCAACCACCCTGAGCTGTAGTACCATGCCATGCAAAGAAATAATTTTCCAAGCAGCTGCTACTTTTCTTGTTTGATGGCTGTATGATCCATCAATGATGATCAGAGAGTCAGAAGGCGCTCGCGGTTGGAAAACCGAAGATCTGAGGTGGATGGAGGAGTTATATCGGAGTTGTGTATTAATTGCCGCATCAAACAGGATCAAAATCCATGAAACTGCCTGATCATTATCTTGTTGGCGCCAAATCCTATCATTTCGTTCCATCCAGATTCGCCGGATGATGAGAAGAAAAAGATCCACCCCCTCTTTTGTTGGATGCTGCTGAATCCAAATAATAAACTATGTATGCATAGAGTCATCGTTTGGGACAAATATTGATGCAAACCTGGGATATGCCAGGGACCAAATAGCTTGAGAGGATTCACATTGGAAGAATAAGTAAAGGGCAGTCTCTTCACAGCATCCACAGCGAGGATAGAGAAGATCCACCGAAACACCACGTTTAAAGAGCTCAGTCCTTAGGCAAAGCATCCAATAGCACTCGCAAGAGTATGAACTTATGTTTCGGTTGCACACCTGACCAACACAGTCATTTCCATGCCACTTTTTCTTTGAGCAATATCTTTGGATTTTGAGCTGGCTGTGGAAGAAGTGCATTTGTGGCAAGTTGATAACCTTCTCTCACTGTATAGCTTCCATGTGAAGTAGAAGTCCATTGGATTGCATCAGGATGATTCCTTCTGTCTGGATCTACAAAAATTCCCACAATCGGGGAGATGATGTGGTCTGGAATAAACCGTCTCAAAGTATGAACTTTCCATTGTCCATTTGGATGGATGAAGTGAGCAACTTTCAGATTTGAGGCTACCAGGACTGACTGAGAACTGATTGGATTTTACACATCAGGAATCCAATTTGCAGGTATTGGTATATCTTTTCCTGACAGCACTTTCCATTTTGTGTGATCCTGGATGAGTTCTGCTCCCCATAGAATACTTTTGAAACCCCAAAAGGAATTAGATGGCGGTTGCAGTGGTGGAAAGACACCATTATTGTAGTACTTAGCACGAAAGAGGCATCCCATCAGAGAATTCGGGGCTGACATTAACTTCCATGCTTTGCTAAAAGAGCCTTGTTGAAATCCTTTGTTGCCTTAAGTTCTAGGCCACCATGGAATGTTAATCTAGCCAATTTTTTCCAGGATCGCCAATGTATTTCCGATCCTACGAGTCCCCTTTCCAGATAAAAGCCCCCATGATTTGATCTGCTTTCGTGAGTATTTTGGCAGGCAGTCGAAACACTCCCATTGGGTATACTATCATGGAAGTAGCCTTCGCCAACGTTACCCTCCAAACAAAGTCAACATCTTTGTTTTCCAGGCATTAAATTTGTTGCTCATTCTGGATGTAAACTGTGAAAAGATGTCCGTCTTTCTTTCTGAAAAATCCAGACTCATGCCTAAATATTTTCTATGGAATTGTCCCATCGAGATTTTCAGGGTGGAATGAATAAAGGACTTCATTTCCTGGCTGGTATTGGAGCTAAGAAGTATAGATGACTTTTGGAAATTGATGCGCTGTCCTGAAAAGTTAGAGTAATTTTCCAAAAGACCTGCTAATGCCAAGATTGATGATTCCTTACATTCTAGGAAAAAAAGACTATCATCAGCATACATTGGGTGGCTAATGCGGGGTGCAAGACGGCATATTTTAATACCCAAATCTGGAAAAAAGGAGATTTCCTACTTGATGGCCGATGAGAGTACCTGTTGGCACAAGATGAACAAGTATGGTGATAAAGGGCATCCTTGTCTTAATCCTTTGTTTGGGAGAAAGGGTCCAAATTATCTCCATTAAACTGGATGGAGTACGATATTGAGGATACACAATGCATAATCAAGGAGATGATCCTTTGGGGAAAATTGGAATCACGTAAAACCGCCTGCAGGAAAATCCAAGAAACACGATCATAAGCTTTGCTCATGTCAAGCTTTATAGCCGCCAAACCTGTGAGTCCTTGCTTCTTCCTAATACATTCCACAACTTCATGAGCAATGATGATGTTTTCACTGATGTTCCGGCCTGGGACAAAGCCATTCTGGTTTTCATCAATCAGATCATTCATCACCACTTTGAGGCGGTTAGTGAGCATTTTGTGATAATCTTGTATTTAACATTACAAAGACTAATAGGTCTATAGTCATTTGGAGTCACCGGCGATGAAACCTTTGGGATAAGAGCCAATCTGGTAAGTGAAAACCTCCAGGATAGAATCTTGTACTTCCTGACCAATTATGTCTCTGTAATGCTGATAAAAATCCGTCGGCATTCCATCAAGCCCCGGAGACTTCCAAGGGGACATTTTCTTAATAGCACACCAGACCTCATTTGCCGTAAAGGAGCATACATAGCAGCAGCTTGTTCATCGATTAAGACTTCCTCCACATTACTCAGTAGGCTCTGGATGGCTAGAGGAAGGACCACTTCGAGATACCAGATCACTAGATGTATAAATGGCAGAGAAGTGAGAATGTATCATAGATCGCAGGGAGTCAGGATCCTGGATCCAAGTTCTTTGAGCATCTTGGAGTTCACTAATCCAAGTGTTCCCTTTGCGTCTTGTTGCCCATTCGTGAAAGAACTTTGTGTTCCTATCACCAAATTGGCGCCAATTTAACTTTGCCCTCTGGTGCCAATATTCTTGTTGCAAAAAAGCAGAGCTTCCTCTAAAGGTGACCTTCGTTGTTCTAGGTGATTTGTAAGAGTTACATTATCTTTGCAAGCCTCCCACTGAGTTTGAGCTTGTGCTAGATCCTCGGTGAGTTTGAAAACCAATTGATCCAAGTTTTCAAACCTTGACTTACTCCAATTGTGCAGCTGGTGTAGAGTCTTTTGCAACTTAAAAGAAAGGCCCTGCTGTGGATCCTCAAAAGACATAGAAGGTTGTGACCATGCTTGATTAACTAGAGTTTTTGAAGAAGGACAGTGTGACCAAAATTGCTCAAACCTAGGACTCTTTTTTGGGAACATTTTTGCTTAAGTTCTACCAAATTTGGTCCTTGGTCTGAACTCATTATTGGCAAGTTTCTAATAACTGCCTTCTTAAAAGTATCCAACCAAGGCCTATTTATAAAAGCACAGTCTAACCTTTCAAAGATCACAGCCTGACCTTGACGTTTGTTTGTCCAAGTGTACCAGCAACCAAGATGCTTCAATTCTTCAAGATAATTATTGTCCAGTAATTGACGTATGACACTAGTATCTTGAGGTCTTACTTGTCAGCCTCCATACTTATCTTCTTGATCTAAGACCTGATTAAAATCACCTAATATAATACTAGGGTAGCTAAAACCTTGAATAATGCCATTCAACTGTAACCAAAAATTAGTCCTTCCTGGATGGAAGGAGGACCGTACAAAAAGATGACCAACCACTCAAGGTCTGAAACTTAACGAATCCGAGCTACTATTACATTAGAATTCTGATAGAGGAGACTAAGATTAATGCTACTAGTCCAGAAGAGAGCTATTCCCCACTGAAACCAACAGGATCATTTACAAAAGAATTCACAAAAGAAGTAGATTGTTGCCAGCTCAAAATATGATCCTTGCTGGCTTTAGTCTCCATGACAAATAAAATACTAGGATTATAGTTCCTTAAAAGTCTACCTAAGCCTCGAATGTTCCAACATAGCATATTCATAAAAACAGAGGCGGTTGATGTCTAGACATAGAAACATGGGGGGGGGGCTTCATCATCAACAAAATCATCAGCATTCATGTCTGTCAAATGTTCCTCATCATTCATACCATCATGGCCATCAAAATCATTATCATCATCTCCATCTCCATCTGATCCATCTGAATCATTATAGTCATCCTCCTGATCATTATCATCATCCGCAGGCGGCTGAGGAGACCAGGGAACAGGTTCTCTTCCTCTACTTCTGATATTGTAAAGTCGTCCTCTATGTAATGATCTGGAACCGTGGCATAGAAAGAGGCCATAGTGTCCACCTTATAATCAGGGAGTCTAGTACAACATTTTTTCTTATGTGCATGTGCCCGTAGAGCACCAGCGTACAAAGGCTGATTCACATCAATAAGAAGAGGAGAATCAAACTTCGCTGCTTTTGCAAGGAAGAAAGCACTGAGGAAATTCTCCAATTCCTGATCTTCCATCATGTAACAACGGTTGAGAAGGTGTCCCAGACGACCATACCTTTGACAATACTTGTGCATTTGTTCATTCTTGCATCTGATTTTTGCAATCTTGCCATTGCGCTTTGTGAAATGAAATAGAGGAGTCACTAGATCTCCCGGATTGATCCAAACCTTGGCCCTAACATAGCTGATGCGTCTCAAAGAAGCATAGTCTTGTTTGATACATGCAACTTTTCACCAACCCGGTTGGCCAAGTCACGAAGGGCTCGATAATTCATTGAGGTGATGGAAACACCATGCATGCATACCCAGATGCTGAGTTTGTCGATTCGAATACTGTCCAAAGCTAAATCCTCATTATCATAGTACCGACGAAGGATTAGCGAACCACC